CAGTGCATTGTTTTGGTTTCTATTCTGGGTATCTAAGAGTGCGTTTCTGATGTAGTTTTGATTTCTGGTGGCTTGTTTCAATGATCCTTAATCCCAGACTGAACAGCAGACCACACAGACCACATATTAAGTCAAAGTACTAGAGGAATATAGCTAACTCTGTATAGTTTCCCTCAACACCCCATTGCAAGTATACCTTGGTACCTTGATCACAGCTAACAGGGCCGATCCTATGGTCACTGGCACCTGGGTGCAGAATTTTTTTTTTTGCGCCCCCAGGTGGGCGTGGTCATCTTTCTAACCCCTCCCCTTTGCAGCGACTCCACCTCTCTATCTAGACACATACTCACTGGCAGTCACACACACTCACTGAGAGACACACACACACTCACTGATTTGACACACACTGACAAAAACATTCTCAGACCGAAACATTGACACGCACTCTCAATTACATACACAATCTCACTGATTTGAAACACTAAATGACAGACACACAGTGGTACACAAAACAAGGAAGTCCAGCACTCCGTGTTTTAAATCACAACATACATAATCACACAATTACACACACACTGCCCCATGCATACCAAGACAGTCACACACAATACAATAAAAATGAAAATCCAGCGCACTCCCTTATCTACTAAACAGCAACTTTGGTGCCGACAGATTTTGTTCATTTTTTTTAAAAACACCTATTTAGCCTTGTACTGCAGGGAACTCGAGAGGGAATTTTTCACCCAAGTAAGTATTATTATTATTATTATTATTATTGCAATTTATAAAGCGCACACAGATTCCGCAGCGCTGTACAATTAGTTGAGAAACGTACAATATACACAAACAAATACAAGAGGTAAGAGAGTGCAAGTAAGTAAGTAGCTCATTTAGCAGACATTTGGCTAGAGTAGGACCTGCCAAAGATGGGGTACATTGACGTTGTGGCAGGTTTATGCAATGTATGATCATATAATGTAACTAAACCCCCATTATTTTTTGCGATGATTAGGTATTTTTAAAAAAATAACAAAATCTGTCAGCACCAAAGTTGCTGTTTAGTAGATAAGGGAGTGCGCTGGATTTTCATTTTTATTGTACTTATCAGCTCCCTACAGCACCCTTTTTTATGCATGTTTAGGTGAGCGCAGGCAGCCCCTTGTTTTCTCACACATAATACAATACACACACATTCACACTGTTATATTAACACTGTATCAGTCACACACAGGCACACACTGACAGAAACACACACTCACTGACAGATACATTTACTGATAAACACACACACTCACTGACAGATACATTTAATGACAAACACACACACACTCACTGACAGACACACACTTACTGACAGACAAACTCGCTGACACACACACAAACACTGACAGACACACACACTCACACACACACTGACAGTCACACTGACAGACACACTTACTGACACACACACTCACTGACAGATACATTTACTGACAAACACACACACACACACACTCACTGACAGACACACACACACTTACTGATAGACACATACACACTCACAGACATTTACTGACAGACACATACACACTTACACAGTCTAGCACACACTCTCACAAATTAATTCTGTTGCTTGTTGCTCCTACCTTTAATAGTCTTCTTGGTCCGCTCCCCGAGGTCCAGTGGCTTTCATTCTCTTCCTGCAGCTCTCTCCCCCCTCGCACTTAGTGATGCAGGGCCGGAATTACACCATATTCCGGCTCCCGGCATCACCACAGAGGGTACGTGAGGGAGCAGAGAGAAGCAGGAAGAGCATCAGCTCCTGTTATGGGAAAACATTGATGAAGCCACGCACAGAGAGCCAAAGGTCAATTCAGGTTTATTGTAACCGGCCGGGTCTCAGCTGACTCGTGTCCAAGTCTGAGCACTGGAGTTTTGAATTACAGGTTTTTTATAGACTATACATCCCCCAACTGTACCCTTACACCAATCAGTACACAGTATACATAGGATTACCTTATATGGATAGGCAATATAGGACTAGGAGAGAATGGAGTGTGGTTTCAGGTCTTGCACATGCTCATTACATTCGATTACTGTAACTTGGCTCTGTGTAACTTAGATACAGATAAGACACGTGTAGATTTTGGGCCTAGCTGAAATCTTGTCACATTCCCCCATTTGATGCTTCTGGTACTAAATACTCAGATGCATCACTTATCAGAGATTGCCCATACCAATCGGGTAATCACAGAACTGGAGAGACCAACAGAACTATTAGCTTGGCCCTGGTGCCAGGGACGTATTAGCCACGAGGCAAACAAGGCATTTGTCTTGGGCAGCATTTTCCAGGGGGCGGCAAAAAAAGCCACCCCCAAATGCCCAGGGTAAATGCCTTGTTAGCCTTGCGGCTAACAGTCCAGCCAGGCGGGCAGCTATGTAAAAATCTGTGCGGGCGGCACTGGCAAGGGAGTACTTCCCCCTGAGCTCTCTGCTCAGCTCCAAAGCCCGCCGCCTGCAGAGTGATGCTGGGAGCCGGAATATGACGTCATATTCCGGCTCCCAGCCTCACTCTGCGGGCGGCGCACGAGGGAGCTGAGCAGAGAGCTCAGGGGGAAGTGCTCCCTTGCCAGCACAGCCTGACCGACCGCCCAGCAGCCACTGGACCCCCAGGGAGAGAGAGAACCCTCCCCCCCAGCATTCCCAAAGGTAAGGAGGCTTGGGGGGTTCCATTTAAAAAACCAAAACACAAGTGAGTGTGTTAGTGTGTGTGTTACTGTGTGTGTATGTGAGTGTAAGTGAGTGTGTGTTAGTGAGTGAGTGAGTGTGTGTGTCTGTTAGTGAGTGTGTTTGTCTGTTGGTGAGTGTGTGTGTATGTTAGTGAGTGAGTGTGTGTGAGTGTGTGTGCGTGTGTGTGTCTGTTAGTGAGTGTGTGTGTCTATTAGTGAGTGTGTGTTAGTGAGTGAGTGTGTGTTAGTGAGTGTGAGTGAGTGAGTGTGTGTGTCTGTTAGTGAGTGTGTCTGTTAGGGAGTGTGTTACTATGTGTGTGTCCGTTAGTGAGAGTGTATGCGTGTCTGTTAGTGAATGTGCGTGTCTGTTAATGACTGTATGTGTCTGTTAGTGAGTGAGTGTGTGTGTATTTAGAATGTGGGGCAGGGGGGAAGGGTGGGGTGGTGCGGGGGGGCGCGAGTTTTGTCCTGCCTAGGGCAGCACAAAGCCAGGATACACCACTGCCTGGGGCCCCTGTATAAACTTTATCAGCTCTGGACTTTCGCGCATGCGTGAGAGTACAGCATTGCGGTCTATTATTTATTTATTTATTTATTTATAAAATATTTTACTGGGAAAGATACATTGAGATTTCTCTTGTTTTCAAGTATGTCCTGGGTCCACAAAACATTGCATTGTTACAATAGGATACAATATTACAAAAAATACACTATACAAACGATATATATATATACATACACACATATAAATTTAACACATAACAGGTAATCAATATATTGGTGCATTCTGTGCTGAGGTATATTACCATGGATCTCTTAAAGGATTTTAGATTAAATTAAGATTTGATTGTGTCCCTGAGGTTATTCCATAATTGCGGTGCTCTGTAGGAAAATAAGGATCGAGCCACTTTTTTTTTTTTTGTATTGCGGTATGCTAAATATCGTGCTAGTACTGGATCGGAGGTTTATGGAGGATTCTGTGGAACTGCGGCATCCTACATAGAACCCGCGGTCTCACTACTGACACCTCAGGGAAATTATGAGGCTTGACGGCGGTTATTTCACTTAGTGCCAAGCTTTGTCTGGTGTAGGAAAGATATTGAGACAAAGTAGTCCCTTTTAGTGAAATTCCAACACAGTTAGTCTGTCTCAATTAAATACTTTTTTGAGTGTGGGGATGACAGTGCCACTTCAAAAGAATAAAAATCGACTGCTGCATGAAATAGTGAGGCAGGGAAATCCTTAGGATTAATTCAGCGTTGGACATTTCCTGTGAGTGTGTAAAGTGGGGACAGAGCAGAGGACAGAAGAAGGTTGTTGTGAGAGCAAAGCTACCAATATCAGTTTGTACTTGCTAGTTAGAAATGATGTGTGGTTTGTAGGAGAGTTGTAGGTGAGAAATTGTGAAATTAGATCCTTCTGGATATGTGGAGTCTAGTTAAATAATTTACACAGCGGGCATATGATAGAGAAGCTGATAAGCAAGACAATCCAGTCAGCATGATTCATTATGGGATACATGGAGGCAATAAGGGTGGCTTGTACTAGGCTAAATGGTAACTAATGAGTGGGAAAATAAATGCTTTGGTTCCGTTTTTTTTTTTTTACTTTTTTTAATATATTTGGCTGATTATTGAGATGAGGCCACGTGTGGCTAGATGTGAGAATACCTCTTGATGGCATTATTTTCCCATAATACATTATCAACTCACACACTGTTTCCCTCTCAATAAAATGGAGAAAATGATATGACTGATGTTTTCTGTCAGAAGAATCATTTTCTCTAGCTCTTAAAGGAATTATAGTAAAAAAAAATATAGGAATAAATACAATATGCAACAAAATGTACTTTATGTGTGAAAGTCTTATTTACCACAAAAAAATTAAAAATGATAAATGGCAATGTTACAAATATTTGTACAGATGAACAACTTAGAATAGATCAAAAAATAGCTATTCTTCCTGACATTACCCATGATCACCCAGAAAGCACAAGATAGAAAATGCATGCAAGGTGTCACAGGCAGGATGATACAGAAATTCTAAAATGAAAGCTGAAAGTGAGCTAATAACATGAAGAATAGATTTTACAGTAAGGAAGAAGACAGGCAGCTTGCTGGTGAACACAATAAAAAAGAAATAATATGGAAATGATGGGGGGAGCAGAGGATCCAGCATCAGATAGAAAGGACAGGGATAATATTTAAGGAGAGTTGCTGAGCCAGAGGAGGGAGACAGCCGCCTGTTGGGCGGTACCAGGGATACTCAGACAGGAGAGAGGGAGGAGCACAGGCTGGCAAGCTCACACTCAGCCATACAGCATCTGCCAGGAGCTGCTGGCTGTGCATGGGGCACCGCTAGGACCCGGGGAGGCACGGCTCTGGCTGGGGAGCTGTGAGCAGGAAGAGGCTCGGTCTGAGGAGAGCAGGGCTGGGATAGGAGTGCTAGCTCCGGGGAGCGTGCCAGCTACAGCACAGGTAAGGCAGGGCTCAGCCCTGGGAGAGGGCTTTAGGGATGTATGGAGAGAGCTGGAGAGTCCATAGAGCCAGCTGTGACAGTGACAGCCAGGAGGTGGGGAGGAGGATACAGGCAGAGCCAGGACACACCGGGGCACAGCTTTACCCTACACCAACACTCACACCCGCTGAAAGGCAAGGGCTGGTGGACTGGACTGATATCTGCTTAAATCACAGCCAGCCAATCTGGACCTGCTCCGGGGAATCATCCACCGAAAAGAAGCGCTGTGTAGGTGTCCGGGAGTCATATTCGGTACTAGATATCGATTGGCAGCTGACCCAAGCGATAAATATGTATCTGTCGATCTTTCTGCCTATCCCTCCATCCATCATCTATCTTCTATACACATAGATATGTACCAAGGCTGCACATATTTGCTGCTGTTGTACTTACAGTGTATATGTGTGAATGCAACATTCTACTGTAGAATTCTGTAATACCATCTATCGCTTCTATCTGTGATATATGCTTAAATACATTCGTGTGTGTATAGATAGATATATAGATAAATAGATGGATATATTATTTTTCTAATTTTCAGTGGATTTTTGCTTTACCAATGTAAAGATATTTTTTTTTCAAATGCAGCTGATAATTACCTACAGAATGGAGTAAAATTTTATTTCACTGCAGTTGTTTAGATTTGAGAATGTTGCCAAACAGCTGCTGCCTTGTGTTTTAAATGCAGAAATCCCTGGAGTATTTTTTGGGGGAGAGACAGATATATTTAGTGGTGGTTCAATAATAAGAGATGGGGGAGGAGCTCAAATGAAGATGACTTCCATCTGATACTATGTATCTCTGCGATTTCGTTCTCATTTCATTAAATCCCAACATGAAGTGAAAACACGGTATTTGGTATTCATTTTTAAAATGCATTTTATACCAGCCTTTGTAACTGTTTAATACCCTAAATGAATAGCAAAATAAAATATGGAAAAATTTGAATAATTGTAATAAATGATACAAAGTGAGCATCTGATTAGACAATAATTCAAAATGATCCCTCTGATATTATTCTCTGTTATATGGTTCTGTTCTTGTAGCAGTGTGAAATACTAGCCAAATAACACCATGTGTTTGCTGTTATGCATAACCCTAGTATTAAAATAAATATTTATTTTGATGGGTAAGAAGAGACAAAAAACCCAAATCACACACCACTAGATAGTGAAAGAGAAATGTCCCTTTGTCTTATAACGACAAATTGTTTTATTTCAAAAGAGGTGCAATTTATTATGTTGTCATTCCATTTGAATCTTAGTTGTTGCTATATGAAGTTTGCTTATTGCTTGTAGCATAGTAATTGAGATTTATTTCAGCTAGGTTTGCAAAGGGTAAAGAATAGACTGCATGAGATGTAATGACAATTATTTGGGTCTAAGTAGCCTGTTTCGTGTATGTTTTTAGGGTGTTAACTCCTCATTTATAGTATTACAAGGTACTATAATACTCCATTGTTTGTTTGTGTCGGTAGATAGATAAATAGATGGACCACACATAATTATTGCTATTATTAATCAAATAATCACCTTTTTACAACTATGTACCTTTTACAGTAGGTTTTCTTTGTGTTGAAATAAGGAAACACATTATAATTATTTGTTAATTTATTCCTAGTTGATATTTTAAAATGGACTTGTCAATGTAGATTTTGGGGTTTGTATTTTTTTCACAATATTTTTACATAGCTTACATGTGTTACATTAAAGCAAATCTAAGAACTTTCCTGGTTTAAATATAACATTTTGAAATAATGATTAAATAAACATCCCAAGCACCATAACCACTACAAGGCATGATAGTGAATAAGATGCCAGGAATGTAAGTAGTGAAAGCATTTGCAAATGGTTTGACAGCATGCCTTGTATCTGCCTGGCGCTTGGGACTTCCCCTACAAAGTGGTAAAAGCTCCTGCTAGGCATGGCCAGCTCATTGGCTAAAAGTCAGCTAAACTTCTTGGCTAGGTTCAATACAGAGAGCTTTAAACTCTAATGGACAAGGTGACCACCTTGGCTTTCTCACTCCCTTTATTGTGAGCTTTAGGTATTTTTCAGGATTATTTGTTAACCCCTTAAGGACACATGACATGTGTGACATGTCATGATTCCCTTTTATTCCAGAAGTTTGGTCCTTAAGGTGTTAAAGGGCTACTCCAACCAAAACAAACAGTGTTTTAATACTTTTTGGTTAGATTAACCATTAAAGTGACAATCCACTAGATACACATAAAAAAATAACGAAAATGGCTGTTTAATAGATATGCCCCAAATTAAAACTTGCATGCATTGAATTATTATTATTATTTTTTTAATTGGGGATATATATATATATATATATATATATTAACAGCTTGCAAAAGTTGCAGTTCTGCCTTTTGACAGCCCTCCCCTTGTAACCCCGCCCAGACGTTCTGTGACTGTCCAACTACAGACTTCCCAATGCAGTTTAATGAGAAGATTTTGCAAGGCAAGTGCTCTGGTCAATTGCTGCTTCTTCAGTTTAGCTCTAGTGCGCTTAACAAACTAGGAAGTAACAAGATCCAGTGTTTGCGTGAAAGCCAAGGGGTTGTTACCAGGTTAGTTATAAAAGTGTAAATTTCTATTGAAATCTGCACTTTCTGCAAAATTAAATAAGGAGGACACGCTCTTCATACATAAAGCTTTTCAGCAAGATAAAGTGCTTTAAGGGTCTGGAGTGTCCCTTTAATAGCCTAGTCCTCCCCACACACAAAAGAAATCTAAAACTTATACCAAATCCAGTACCAGGGACATGTTCTTCCAGTAGCCAAGTCCTCCCAATCATTGCAGGAGGATGGATGTCGGGGAGGATGGGTTGAGAGGATGATATGAGCGGAACGGCAATGCCACTATTGGACACCAGTTGCCAGTATGCTTTGCGCGCTGACAACAAATGTCCAGTATTCAAAGAACTGACATTAACCAAGCTGGGACAACTAATGACACACAAATGACACTCCTGGAGGGGAAGTTACACCTTCTGGCAGCAAAGAAGTTAAACTCTATATGTGCAGTGCTTCTGAGCAAAATGCTGCACATGCAGACTCCAAGCACCTTGACCACTTCAAATCACTGAAGTGGTCATGGAGCTTGGAGTAACCCTTTAATATTTTTAATATGAAATCATTGCTATTGGTCAAATTATTACAAATTACAGACCAGAATAGCTAAAATTTTATAATTTGCTGGTTAATCCCAAATGCAGTAATCATGTGACTTTACTAAGAAAACATTAATAAGAAATAATGGCTTAAATAACAACCTGGTATCAATCGGTTATATATCACTCAACCGTTATCAAGGTGATTACAATCCAAATTTTGCAAACCTTTTTCCTCCAATAATACCACCTTAAGTCAGAAAACATTACTGAAATAATACCATGCCTAATTCATGATTTAGTTGTTAATCTCGTAATGTACTCAATAGGCCGATATCACAAGGTTAACAAGAAAAAAATGTGACGCCTTCACCGTTTTCAATTACTGCACAGGTTGAAGGTTACATGCAACTGAGTGCATTAATGTCACTAATAGGTGACAGGTGCGTAACCTATTATGTTCTATGTGGACATGGCAGTGTGTATTTATTTAGGTACCATTAAATGGACAGTTTAGGTATCATGCACATCATGTGTATTCATTATGTATTCATATTATCCGTTTCGCTATGTTATATTTTAGTTACAGTGTCTTGTACTTTGACTGGTGTAATTGAACATTGCGGAATTGCTAATGTTGCTTGAACAAGTCATCAAAGGAACACTATAGTTTTAGGAATCCAAACAAGTATTCCTAACAATAGTTCTGGAGTGGCTGTTGAGGGGTCTGACCCCCACAGATTGCAGACAAAACGGATTTAACTTACTTGTTCTTCATCGCTGCACCAGTCTTGCCATGGCTGGCCTCGCCTCCATGGATGAGATCCTCAGTCTTGATGATCTCAGCAAATACAGTTCTTTCCCATAGGAAACAATGCGTTTCTATGAGGAGCTTCTCCTTGCAGAGCGTGAAGATTCTGAATGTAGTAAGCTGTAGTGGTTATGGTGACTATAGTGTCATTTCAAGTCAGAGGACGTGTTTGTGTTATTCGTTCTGCTCATGAGCAAACAGTTACAAATAGTTTGGCGTATAGGCTGTTTATAAGAAATGCATTTTCACAGATGGGCACCCAGACATCTTTATCTCAATGAAGTGGTCTGGGTACTATGTCCCCCTCACCCTCCCCGTTTTAACACTGCAGAAGCAATGTTTTCATTGTAGGTTTAACCTGCCTCTAGAAGCTGTCATGCAGACAGCCACTAGAGGCATTTCCATGAAGTAGAATACTAAAACTGGTATTTCTATCAGATGGTCACACCTATGGGTAAGAATTGGATTGGCTGAAATTATCAGTCTCGGTGATCTCAGTCAAAAAGGCAGAGCTTCACAGTGGCACTGGCCCAGTCACCTAAATGATGACTAGGGCACTATATATATATATGTATATATATATATATATATATATATATATATTTGTATGCCCCCATTGTAAAATGATTGAAACAGGTTGCGATCACTTCCACATTGTTAATGGCTCATCAGCATTTGTCAACATGTCAATAAATATTGGAGATTGCGATTTACTTTCATGTGTGCTATAGACTGCAAAATGATAGGGCTGTCCTCTTTAAAAATAAAAACTGCTTGCAACTATATGTCCCATGAACTATATATATATATTTCAAATTGAGCCCGCAAGTACTTTTCTGAGTCATTCCTAGTAAATATATATATATATTTATTTATTTACTAGGAATGACTCAGAAAAAGTACATATGGGCTCAATTTGATATAAACCATATATTATGTCACAGGGATTAATGAAAATATGACATTCATGGTGTTACCATTCACCATGCATGGTGAAATGTTAGAGACTAACAGTGTTTTATACATACATTATTATGCACTGGAGTTTATGAGATGCATAAGCCACCCTTATGTACATAGTGTAATTTATTACATGTGCACGATAGACCTGTATTGATAGCCTTGCTGGTATTTATAGCTCACAAGAGCTGAAGTTTCCTTTCCCCGCAAATGTGTTTACGTGATGTTTGAGTCAAATAGTGGCTATAAATGTTTAAATTGCAATGTATTACAATGGAAAATTACTTGTTTGATAGTCAGTCCCCAAATGGAAAACATGACTTTTGGCTTTCCTTTGCCTTTGATCCCTTTGGACTTGCAAACCTTTCAGACAGTGAAGAAAACTCTTATCACCAGTATGTACTGAGTAAAACCAGTACATCTCATCTGCCTCCTCCAAGATGGCTGCTACAGATGGATGCAAGTAGCTGTCATTGCCACCACCTTCTTACAAATGTGACCCAGACGTTTACTGTTTACCATCTTTGTTGTATTGTTCCTGTGCTGAGGAGGTCAGCGCTTATACACAATAGGTAAAATAATTATATCTTTTCTAGCCATTTGGCTGTCAAGCACAATACATGACTCTGTGAAGTTTGTTATTACAGTGTCCTATTCACAGTGTCTGGATTATTTATTACATCTAAACTGTGTAGAGATGACAAAGGAATTACAAATTTTAGGTGAAAACATTCACATAAAAAAAAAAATCTGTCCAGGTTGCAGCATTATTTTTTACTTTTTAAAAAATAACTAAAATAAAGAATGCATTTAACAAATATAAAGGATTCCTGCTGGTTTTAGTGTTTCTTTTATAAATGTGATGAAGCAAGGCGTATTGCAAAGATATTTACAATAGTTATCTTACAAAAGCAGAGGTTTTGGAAAATTTACAGTGTGTTGTGGTTTTACGGTTAAAACTATTTGTAATACCTCCTTCCTTTCCCTTTACTGTTCTCTGGCTCATAAAATTCAACTAGATTTATGTCTGGAAAGAAGAGGAAATGCAAAATGATGCCTATCTGTAAGACAAAAAATACTGGCATATGGCAAACTATCCCCCATCAATTATAAGAATGGAAAAAAAAAATCATAAAACAAAATGTGTTATTTACAACTCAATAATGTGTGTCTAACACAAACCACTATCGATGTTTTCCTTTTTTAACAGTTTGGGACAAATGCTTAAAGGGACACCGCAGGTTTCACTTGACTCCCTTCGTTAATGCATGATGAAGATAAAGCATTAAAACCAATTGTTTCTTGTTGTTACTTGGTGACTTGCACGCCACCACTGTTGCTCTTTGAGCCTACTACATATCTAAGAAGTCATTGAAACGAATCAATGCTGGACCTGCGTGTCCACACAGACGATCTCTTATAAAATTGAAAATACTGAATAAAAAGAAATTCACACAAATAAGGATTGAGGGTGTACTTTTTCATAATTTATTTTCTTATTAAAGGAACACTATAGTGTCAGGAGAATTTAGACCAAGACAGTCACTGGAAAGTTCTGCAGGTTTTGGAGATCTTTCTTTTTGGTCTAAATTTTGTAAGCTATTAGTCAACCTACGACATCTCCTTGTATAAACCCCCAAGTTGTTTTCTGTATAATTGAATACACCCTAGGTAAGCATATGCTCTGACTTACTCATATCCTCTGCTTGTTAGCACTTTCAAAGACGCAATCTCAACAACTGAATTTTATAATTAATATGTTGCTGAAATTGAATATTCTAAAACAAAATCCAAATCTCTTAAAATAAGCAATTTACTATGAAAAAAAATTAGTCTCAGCTATTAAAAAGAAAACAACTATTTATCAAATTATGTCAACAACACAAATTACTTGAATGAATTGAATGGAGTATTTAAGTACGTGAAGCTACAAAACACATTACAATCATTTTATTTTTACAAATGGCAACAATGTGTACTGTGTTTTTATTTATTTTTTTAAACTGATCTCTCATGTTCTGTAATTTCTACTGTTCTAGGTGATTGAATTACTGTTGTCACTACATACTAGCCCTTTTTCCACCTAACTCCTTAATGGTGTAGAGAGGCACTTTCATTCACTGAGATGTGACATGTAATTGATGCTCCTAGCATCCAATTACCATCAACAGTGAAAACAGAGGCAGACTTTTTTTGTTTTTTTGATCCTGTGTTTGTTTATAGGCCCCACTGAAAGGTTACGGTCCTCATAGCCAATGTGATGTGACTTCAGGTCATCACTGATAAGGTGGCAGAAGAAAAACATAGCAAACAAGAACAACCTAAAAACAAAAGGAATGAAGGTGTTCTCTGTCATTGTTCTTGAGCTTATGCAAGATACAGTATGGTTAAGGCCTAAATATATGAAAACAATGCAGTCTAGGAGTTATGAAGACATTGTAATAAAGCATGACAACAAATGGCAGAACCCGGTAATGGCTTAAATTTACCCACAATTACGATTCAGCACTATGGAACTTTTATACTACATAATTGTTTAAAATTAGGGTTAGGTTTATGCTAGGTTTAGGGCTACGGGAAGGGCTGTGGCCTAGCCTGCCTAAAATTTCTGAGCATTGCATTCCTGGGTCGCATCTATAATTTGCAACTTATGTTTTTAATTCAGTCCACATATATAAAAGTCATAAAACTTATTGCTGTACAGTACACATGGATCGTTTTAAAATAAAAACCTCCCACCAGTCATTGCAACATTCTGGTTCTAGCACAGTGAGTCTGAATGCCATGGTGCAAAGATGTCCCCTGTCCTTGTCTCCCAGCACACATTTGCTTATAATAAATCAATCAATATATTTATCCCCTACACATCCAAGTACTTTTATGATGTGGCAGATTTCTCAAAATTTGATAGATAGATCGCCAAAAGAAATCTATTCCTAAATTCTGACAAAACTGCCTCAATTGTGTTTACAGCAAAGCTTTAATTAAACATAACGATCATCTGTTAAAAATCAAAGTAATGTCAAACTACAATTATTCAGTAAACACTTAGCAATTGATAAATCTAAGTTATCATCCCAATTCCAAGCTAAATTTGGTGCTGTTCAGAAAAACGGCTAGTCGAAATAGCATGAACATGATTATGCAACAACTGAATAAGAGGATATATTATGTGCATCTCTACAATCATAGCTCAGTTATCTCCAATCTGTGATTAATTGTTCTACTTTGTCCTGCACTGTGTGGCACAATTCATCACAATGTTAAACATTCTCAATTGACTTACACTCAAAATACTATATGTACATTTAACCTATTTTACCTGGTTCAAACATACTTTCCATAGTACCGAAATAGAATGCTCAGTTGTGCTCCACTGGTCTGTAAATAATTTGGAGGACATCACATTTTGGGAATTTCAAATTTGCACAGAACTGACATGGTAATTCCAAAATGTATTTTAGAATACAAGTTCTAACCAGAAGGACAGTGCCTAACAGAGCTATGTAAGTGTCAAACTAAGTATAAATTATTTTAAAGCTTACTGTGGGTTAGCACCAGATGACATCTGGCACCATAACCACCATAGCACAAGGCAGTGGTTATAGTACTTACAGTATCTCTTTATATAAACATTTGTTGTTGCTGAATATTATTATACTTAATATTCTTATATAAATTCAAAATAAGCAATACCTGATCTAGTTTGACTAAAATAGTAGATATTCTACATAAAACACACACACACACAAATACTGCTCTGTGCTCCATTTATGATGGAGTGGAGCAGGAGATGCTTTTGTTGTAGTATTTCTCTAGCACTGATTCCCTTGGGTTTCTGAATTGCCCAACAGAGACTGCAGCATCTGTGTGTTTAAATTAAATTTTCCCTTGGCTGTTATTACTTTTTGAATGCACTAGCTATACTGTATGTGCTCCATATTCTGTTGTAACATTGGCATCGCAGGAGAAATAGAAAATAGTATTGTCTTGTAGTTGAATAGCAAACAAAATCTATGAATTTAATTGTCAATATAGTGTTTCTCCTTAATATATAAAATCATACAACAGGCTTGAAATCTGAATGTTTAAATACCTACATTATATATATCTCTGAAAAAAGGGGGAAAAACTTTTTTGTAACAGTAACATGTACTCTTGCAGAGTGTTACATGTAAGCATTATGTTCTAGAAAGCTGGGGAAGCAGTTTACATCCATACTAGTAAACTGTTAAGTTTTTTTTTTAATTAAAGATATAATCTAAGCAACAAAATCACTTCATCCTAAAGATGCTGCAGCCTCACTGTTATAATCAGTTCTGTTTATATTGTGCATATTTGAAGACTAAAATAAATGTAGTTATTGAATCTTTTTGATGACCATGGAACGTATGCCAACGTTGGACATTGAGCGTCCAATGTTTCTGTATGAGAAGCATTGGATTAATTGTATAGAGAAGCACTGGATTGGTGGATCGCAGCAGTTGCTTTACATGCGCTGAGTGCCCTTAAAGATTTTCAGCAAGAAGTATTTGAAATCACAAGCTAGGAGTCTGTTTCAGCACTAGAATCAGTGGAGACTGATGAAGTTTAAAGATGGTTGGGTACTTCACGACATATTTGTTGGGCTTTACCCATTTAACCCCATGAGATGCTGTGCCCTCTTCATAACCAACTGTATCAGCAGTCATTAGTAAAGGGGAGTATGAAAATAGAGCAGGTATATAGATTTACATTAAGATATTTTATTTTTTATATATATTTTTTATTTATTTTTATTTTATTTTGTTTATTTTGTTGTGTGTGCTGTATGTCTGTGGGTGCTGTATGTGTGTGTGGGTGCTGTATGTGTGTGCTGTGTGTGTGTGGGTGCTGTATGTGTTAAGGTGCTGTATGTGTGTGCTGTGTGTGTGTGTGTATGTGTGTGTGTGCTGTATGTGTGTGTGCGCTGTGTGTATGTGTGTGCTGTATATGTGTGTGTGATGTGTGTCTGTGTGTATGGTGCTGTGTGGGTGTGGGTGTGTGTGCTGTATGTGTGTGTGTGCTGTATGTGTGTGGGGGTGGGGGTACATTACTTAATATCCCCCCTCCCTTCATACCTTATGTAGGGAGGGGGGATCGTGCTGCTGCTTTCCCTGGTGGTCCAGTGGAGAGTGAACTCTAGCCCCTGAGGGGCTAGAGTTCACTCTCGTGAGATCTGAGCGTTGCCGTGAACTCTCGAGAGGAAGCCGGCGGAGCTGCTGGTTGAGCTCCCTGGGTCCTCTCCTGCCTCCCTCCATGCTGCTGTGGGGAGGGAGGCTTAGAGCAGAGCCGGCGCTCAGATAGCGCCGGCTCTGCATGAGCCGACAGGGGAGATCCTGAGATCTCCCCTGCCGGTCTCACTCCATAGGCGTGCCGCGGGGATTAGGGTGTGCCCAGGCCTATGATTTAGATCTGGAGTGCCCAAAAGATAGATCCCCAGATGTGTTGTCATTCTAAAGGCATGCAAAGCATCAAGGGAATTGTAGTTCTACAACATCTGGGGCTCTACCTTTTGGGCACCCCTGATTTAGATAAATCCCTCAGAGACTAATGGTAATACTAATAATGCATTAATTATTATTATTATTATAATGCGCCAACAAATTCTGGAGCACTGTACATTATGATAAACTCAAATTTTAGCAAATACATTTTAGCTAATAAAAAGCTTTGCACTGTTATTATCTACAACATTGCTAATGACTATGCAGTTGTAAAAGTGCTTTGCTACCATCAGTTGTAGGACTACACACCTGATACTTATAATACAGTCAGTGGATCGATAATCTACAAATAGCACTCAGTCAGTTTAGTTGATATTGACACTGGTATTGCTCATGAGATAGAGCATATTTTTTTTTTTTTTTTTGCTGAGCCTTTAGGGATAGGCTGGTGCCATCTTTAAGCCTGTGGGAGATTACATTTACCCAACAGTTCTTGTTTTGACTTTGAGTGTATTTGTGTATAGTAATAATATCCTCATCTAGGTGCCTTTTCTGGCATATCAGCAATGAGATTCCCATGCTAGTGTTAAGTTACTGTTTGGGAAGGTTTTACTGCCTGGGGGAGGAAGAGATACTTAAATTACAAGAACACCTGTAGGTTTTGACTGAATGGGTATTTCTAAATATGCCAGTATTCTGCTATTGGTTTTGTGAACTACAGAAATTGTTTTTTCTAACAATTCAGTGTAAACTGCTTAAGTGGCCAAAACAGTTCCCTTTCTTCCACGTCCTTTCCCCATGTAAGTTCTATTCTCAAGTGTACTTATCACAGTACCCTATAAATCTCCCCAGCCTTAATCACAGCTCCTTTATTCATCAGTGGTGCCATCAACTATAATGGTAGATGAAGATGTATAATTATGTTTAAACCAATAATGCAGGTAGGTTAGTATTTTCATATTAACACATTATATGGTAAGCTTAGCTGGAGTTACCACCTGAAGATCTGCCAAGAGGTGCCCATTTTGGAATTATACCACAATTTTCAAACCCTAAGTGATAAAAAAAAAAAAATAAGTTGTAGAGAACATTGTGATGTCAGCAGTTAGTCATTGTCTTCGATTTCCCAAATGTCTTTCAACGTTCCACTGTGCAGGAAACAGCAAATGGTTCTTTCACCCAAATGCCCAAGGTTATCTGGAAATATTTTTTTATTTTTTTTTATAATTCTTTATTTATGTCAAGGTTCGACACCACAGCAAGGTATACAACACAATTCAGATGCTTCCATTAACACGTGTACATATAATCGGAAGCTAGTGTCAGTAAAGTTATGTATTTTCATAAAAAAACAGCCTGTAACCATTAAACAACCCATGTCTTGTGAACTCTAAAAATCTTTAAATAGTGGCGTCGCCCCCGTTTTTAATTTTATTTCATATATATGCGCCTCTTTTAGCCTCTATGCGTGTATAACCTGGGTAGCAAGTACAAGCCATTCAGAACACGCACGTATGTTAACAGATACAGCACATTGTGGAGCAGAGTACCCAATAGCTTGAAAGTGACAAAGTCACGCTTCGCGGTTCGGCACCGTACCCCTCCAGTAAGGGTCCCGGTTGTGAACCACACTAGACAGTAAGGACAAGAGTAAAGGAAAGGAAAGAGAAGAGTAAAGAAATAAGCTGGAAATATTTTTTATAAACAGATTTACAAATGATCAACACAAAGTATAGGCAGTTTAAAAAGGTTCTATAATAATGCATTGACAATTTCTGATTATAGGGCTACATTAAAAGGATGCTCAGCCTCATACCCAATTCGCCAATGCCCTTTTCAAATTAAAACTTATAGTTACACGTATTTGGGAAACATTGTGAAAGAGGTCCAACTCTGCTTATCGATGCTGTTAATCAATAATAGCCCTACAAGGCATGACAATACACATGTCTATCTTTTATCTGAGAGGAAGTCAATGGGTGAGCAGACTAACAAGCCTTTTCAAAAATGTCTCAAAACCTAGACATTGGTTGCTTAGTCTGCCACCAGCAGCATCTCCAGCCATCAGTCAATAGGGGGATGGAAACTGCAGATATAATCATGACAGTCAAATGTTTTTTCTAAAATACTTATCATTAGTCCTTACCATGCCAATACATTGCAACAAAAACTGGGGTGGGGGTGCTGCACAACCTGTCCCTGTGGATTAACCTCCACTTAGTGGCAATATAGGCATGGTTGGAGGCCATTTGCACCATGGTGTGTATTGCATGCATTGTATTCAACACACATTTTATATATATATATGCTGTGAAAGGTTTACATGTTTTTTTCATGTTATTGTGTTTGCTGAGGGTATCCCTATGTATGCATCACAACAAAGTATTTTTTATTCTGATATATCTGTCCAGGATTAGATTTAACCTGGTTCTCTTTAGATTACGGCAGATTGGAATTAAATAAATTATAAATGTAATCCATTTTATCCATTTATCTTGTTAACGTAACTCATACATTTACATGATGATGAGATCTCTTCTTTTTAACGTAGAGAATTATGGTAAAGCAGGACTAATGGCGGCAGCTTTTAAGGCCTGTTTTCTGACCACAGTGCTACATTACTAAGTGAACCAAGTGGAGACTGGAGAGCTGATATCCAAATGTATTTTTTGTTTGTTTGTTTTTATCACCGTAAGCCTGAAAATCCCTGCTGCAATTCCTGCAACACATTTCATGTTATACATGGCATCGAAGCATATTTCCCTGCTTTTCATTGCACAATGGAAAAAAATTAGCACATTACTAAAAAGAAGTTATTAAAGGGATTCTATTGTGTAAGAAATACAAAGCTGTATTCCTCACACTATACTTCCCTCTGGTCTCCTACTTCCTCGTACACGCTTGCCATGAAATCCATTCAACCGAATGAAATTACAAAATGAAAATAATGGCCAAATTTTGTCCTCAAATGAATGAACAAACAGATGAAATTCTGTTTGGATGAAACAAAACATTTTTGGACGACACAATTTTTTGGGTGGCACCTAAGTTTCATAAATATTGACTGGTACAGAGAGGCATCATCAGAGACTGCTAGGCCCAAGGTGTGAACAAGATCTAAATGCATTAGCCGGACCCATGGGAAGCAGAGCATAGCTTACTTTTGACCCAAGGCCTTCTTATAGGCTATTAGCTGTTAATTACACCAGATACCCTCCACTCTGCATACCCATTTTGAAACGTGTGTTATTGTATTAAAGCATACCTCCCAGGAATCCCTACTGAGTACACTGGTGAGTTTAAGGTAGTGGTTTTAGAAAAAGAATTTTGAGTGACCTTACATTTGGCAGCTTTCCATGTCTGGTGTGCAGTAACTGTAATTCAGCTTCCAAGTGTCCAGAAATAGGAGGGCCAGTACCTTTTTTGAGAGCCAGGACCGTAACTTACCGGCTCTCATACTGTAACATACCGTGGTGTCACACAGTGCTTTCACATTTTGCTATAGCGAATCATTGTATCAACTGTGCATGTACCTACAGTCCCCAATACTCCTCTATGATAAGCACTGAATTGGACCATCATCCTGTCAGTTGAGGAGGAGGCCATGGGAGTACTGAAGGAGACTCTGCACTGAAGAAAAGGTGAGTAATTTGTTTGTTTTCTTTTATTTAATTTTTTTTATACAATGGGGGGCCCTGAACTAGTCAGATCAGGACTGTAGCATTAGGAATACAAATATGTATTTGTAATGCTTCAGTATTCCTTTAATATCAGGCTACCAGAAGATTGTCTTGGTGGCAACCCCCCACTTCTATATTTTGGGATAAATGGTGTGATTTTTATACTCACTACTTCCTTTCTGGCCAATGTGGACAGTACTACCACATTTTAATTGATATGTCTCCATTACTGCACTTGTAAGGGCAATAATGTAATAGATACCCGTTATGCATTTTATTTATTTAATCCCTTAAGGACCAAACTTCTGGAATAAAAGGGAATCATGACATGTCACACATGTCATGTGTCCTTAAGGGGTTAAATATCCCTCCCCCCAAATTATAGTTAATGTTAATGTTAATTAAAATAATTTTTACATGTATCAGACCACAACGTTTTTCTAAATATATGTATCTTCTCTACTGAATAAAACATTTTTGTATATTGTTTTTATAAGTTATGCACAAAGAATAAAAGTAATTTTTTTTCTCTAAAAGAAAGGTTAAAGCGTGGGTTTTTTTCATCAGCTTGATTTGCCACAAGTGTAGGTGAGTAGCAATACTTCTTGGAAAAAAAAAAACTAATGAGAACCGTTATCTTGGGTTAAACTCAGGAAGTTCTCGTACTGCTGGGATCGTGTTGAGCCCTATGTAAGGAAATTCAAAGAGGAACTTTCATCTTATTTGTATCTGACAGTTCTGTTTTAAACTTCCTTATTATCATATAAGCAGCTGAGGGAGTTCGCTTTGGTTTCAGGGAAAACCTCAAACAGTTTGAAAATAATTTGATGAAAATTTGGAGGGCCTATGCCCAAAGACTCCTTTCACCATAACAACTACACTCAGGGTTATTTGTCAGGAATACATAGTGAATTTCACATTTAAGGACAAAATAACTGAACTGGAAACATTCTCTAAATCAGCTATGGTTGCAGTTTGGCTACTTTGGCCTTAAATTAGAAAATAATGTTGAATTCATATAGAAAAAACAAGATTATTGTGGCCATAAGCAGATTTGTTTGAATCCAGATGAAGTTGGTAGAGTCCATGGATTCCTCCATTCAATGTTAAACCACCTTTAAAAGATGTAACCATGAATGATCTACCCACAGCCCAGCCCCCTCTGGATGCAAGGCCCACATCTCCTTTTCACTATACCAATTCATACCAGCAGTGGTCACTGTAAGAGGCGGTCAGATGACACTCTCAGCCAGTTATTGATGTCCACTGCTGCTCAGCCTTATTCTTCCTCATTAAATTAAACAGCACAGAGGGGATAGTCTGCTGGGGACTCTCGTTTGGCCGTAAACCATTCAAAATGGAAGTAGTAAACAAAAGGACAGCTCCAGGGGACTCCAGGCTCTATAACCACTTCAGTGAGATGGAGCAGTCACTTACAGTGTCCTTTAAATTATATCTACTGTGCATCTAAACAACTGCATCAACAAAACCACATTAACCCTTACTTATATGTGGCCTAGTCAATGTTATCTAGAATGAGCTAAGTTTTATGCTACACCCTCAGGATATAACTGTAAGTAAAATCCACCTTTCTATGTATTTTACATAAAAATTAACAAATTAACATTTGAAATACATTTTCGTGCAAACCTGAGGCACTCTCACAACACCCATTACCATTAGTCAGTCACCAAGACGCATACTGCATCAACAGCTGGAGGGCCCATTACTTAGATCATGCACGGATTCTAAATGTGCTGTGTAATATCATGAAAATGGGTTTCTTCCCATAGTACAAGACGACAGGAAGGTTGTTAAATGATAATGGAAACATAAATGTATTCAGTTAAATGATAATATCTCACATATTCCTTATAAATGGCTGTGTGCTTGCGTTTCTTTAATGCTTGATCTTCATAATGCACTAATGACCCTAGAGTAGGGGTAAACTTCAGACTGGAATATTTATTAGAAGGAAATATATATATATATATATATATATATATATATTTTAAAGTTTTTTATTTATTTTTTGAGTGTCAGGTTGAACCCCCATTTTGTAATCAATTATGGAAAAAAGCAATGAAAATACAAATACGAAGATAAAGGAAAAATTTTAACCCTCCAGACTTTATTTTGTTTTTGTAATGCAATTTCTGCAAAGTATAGCTGTTGCTCAGCTAGTCACACTCCTAGTGCATAGAGAAATGCAAAGTTATGCACTTTGGGGTTAAGAATGCACAAGCACCACTAAATGGTAGTGAATTAGGGATAACCACACACGAGAAGGATTTGGGAATTGTTATAGACAACAAATTAGGCAGCAATATGCAATGTCAATCTGCAATTGCTAAGGCCAGTAAGATTTTGTCATGTATAAATAAGGGCATAAATTCTCAGGATGAAAATATAATTTTGCCTCTTTATAAATCACTGGTAAGACCACACCTTGAATATGCTGTGTGATTTTGGGCGCCTGTTCTAAAGAAGGATATCATGGCACTGGAGAGGGTCCAGAGACGAGCTACAAAATTGATAAAAGGAATGGAGCATTTTAGTTATGAAGAAAGGTTAAAAAAATTAAATCTGTTTAGTTTGGAAAAACGGCGCCTGAGAGGGGATATGATAACATTATACAAATATATTCGGGGCCAGTACAAACCTTTATCTGGAAATCTATTCAACACAAGGTCACACATTTAGGCTGGAAGAAAGGAGATTTCATCTAAGGCAAAGAAAAGGTTTTTTTTACAGTAAGAACAATAAGGATATGGAATTCTCTGCCTGAAGAGGTAGTTTTGTCAGAGTCTATACAGATGTTTAAACTGCACTTGGATAAATACTTGCAAAAACATAACATACAGGGATATAATTTCTAATTAGTGGGGTAATAGCTGCTTGATCCAAGGAGACATCTGACTGCTATTTTGGTTTCAAGAAGGAATTTTTTCCTAGTTTGTGGCAAAATTGGAAGCGCTTCAGACCAGGTTTTTTGCCTTCTTTTGGATCAACAGCAAAAACATATGTGAGGAAGGCTGAACTTGATGGACGCAAGTCTCTTTTCAGCTATGTAACTATATATGCATATCCCATAAACAGGGCCAGTGCAAGACTATTTTGCGAACTAGGCAAGACCAGCTATTTGCATCCCCCACAATAAAAACAAAAAATTGCCAATTTGTGTATCTCTTTCTCCCATCCAGTCCTGTTGTGTGTCTCTTTTGCCCCTCAGCCACTTTGTGCCTCTCTTTCTTCCTCAGCCACTTTGTGAGTCTCTTTGTTCCCCCAGCACCCTCTGTGTGTCTCTTTGTCTCCCAACTCATTTGTGTGTCTCTTTTTCCCCTTCTCCAGTCCCTCTGTGGGTCTCTCACCCGCAGCCCCTCTGTGTCTCTTCCCCTTTGCGTATGTTTCCTTTGTGTCTATTTCTCCCTTAGCCCCTCTGTGTGTCTCTGTCCCCTCCAGCCCCATGTGTGTCTCTTTGTCCCCTTCAGCCCTTCTGTGTGTTTCTTTGTCCTCTTCAGTCCTCTGTGTGCCTCTTTGCCCTCCCCCTCAGCCCTCTGTGTGCTTCATTGTTCCTCCTAAGCCCTCTGTGTGCCTCTTTATCCTGTGTCCCCCACAGACCTTCTATGCCCTTTGTGCTCCTCTTTGTCCCTTGTCCCCCCTCAGCCCTCTGTTTGCCTCTTTGTTGTCCCCACAGAACTTCTGTGTGCCTGTTTGTCATGACAGTCCTTCTGTGCATCTCTTTTCCCCCCTGGTCCTTTTGTCGTCTCTCTCCCCCCTCCCTCCCCATGCCAGCTCACCTTCTTTTATGTAGTGTGGCTGAGCCACGGACTATGGTTGAGGGACTTCTGGTTCTTCTCCCCCGTTCTGGCAGGAAGTTGTTCAGTGCTCTCAGTGAGCACTTACTGTCATACCATGTAGAGCAGGGGTGAGGAACCTTCGGTCATCCAGATGTAGTAGACTACATCTCCCTTTATCCTTTGCTAGCATTATGGCTGTAAGGGCATTATGGGAGATGTAGTCCAAAACATCTGGAGGGCCGAAGGTTCCCCACCCCTGATGTAGAGGATATAGATGCTCCTTTACTGTGGTCAGCGGCTCGGCAATGCTTTATCCAGTGACTAGCAGGAGGGGAGTGATGAACATTGCGCTCCCCGGGCCGGTTCACCCTAATTCGCCTAACACTTGCTCCTGCCCTGCCCATAAATCCTTACCCTTGTATAATTTAGTACTACTTATAAATAATTGAATGAAACTATTTGTCAATCAAATGGAAACCCCAGCTTACTTTTACTCGCTTTCTAAGTAGATTAATTTAGGTTTTTAAATTAGGAAGTGGTCTGGGTGCCAGGTCCATCTAGGGTTAACCCTGCCTGCAGTGTTTACATATGTGTTAATCCAGCCTCTAGTGGCTGTCTTATTGACAGCCGCTAGAAGCGCTTCCGCGCTTCTCACTGTGATTTTCACAGTGAGAAGACGCCAGCGTCCATAGGAAAGCATTGAGAAATGCTTTCCTATGGGCTGACTGAATGCATGCGCATGCGCATTCAGCCGATGACGTCGGAAGGTGGAGGAGAATCCCCAGCGCCGAGAGAGCCCGGCGCTGGAGAAAGGTAAGATTTTAACCCCTTCCTACCTCTAGAGCCCGGCGGGAGGGCGACTCTGAGGGTGGGGGGGACTTATTAACACTATAGTGCCAGGAAAATGAGTTTGTTTTCCTGGCACTATAGTGGTCCTTTAAGTCCTTTAGGGACCACAGTGTCCAATTTATATATCCAAGATGCCTCACACTGTAAGAGAGCTTTAGACCTGTCACCTCCATGGGATAGAGGAGGGACATGGTCAATTGCTATAAAACGTAATGTAGGCAGACGATGTTGGGCTGCCAATAAATGTTTAGCCACTGGTTTAACAGTCGTTTGATCACGAAAAGGCTGTCATAATTCCAGACCGATGTCCTCGTATACAATCTTGAAGGGTCAGATCAGTTTTCCCTACATAAGACAGTCCACAGGGACAGGTAATCATATAAATCATATGATCAGTGGTACATGTGATGTAATGTGATATAGGGACATGTTTCCCACTGTGGGAATGACAAAATGTAGACCTACTGATCATGTGGCTGCATGTAACACAGCCAGAACATTTAAAAAACCCTTTCTTTTTGAGTATAGGGGATTTTTTGTAACATTGTACAGGATCACTCTTCACAAGTAGATCTTGTAGATTTTTATTCCTCTTATAGCTCACGATCGGTGTTTCACGAAATATAGAAGCAAGATTAGTATCAGACTGTAGAATGCTTCTTTATGGAATCTCTGATTTTTATTGTGCCAGTGTGGAACGTTAAAGGTACAAACATTTTCTTCTGAGGTGATTTCTTGTGAGAGCTGTTGTTAATTTCCTCAAAAAATCGTTCAAAGGCTGTATCTTTGGCCTTATCCAGTATTCGTGGATGATATCCGCGTGAAAGAAATCTGTCGTACATATCTTGTAACTTTTCATCTCTGGATTTGGACTCGCTGTTATATCTGAGTATTCACATAAATTGAGAGAAGGGAAGAGCATCTTTAAGATGTTGAGGATGAAAATTGGTCGCCAAGAGCAGAGTATTTCAGTGTGCGTGCTTCCTATATAAAGTATATCCTAATTCCTTTTAATCTTTATGTTTGTACACTTGTACATCCAGAAACTGTATGGAAAAAGTATCCCATGTCAGAGTAAGTTTTATGGATGAGGAGTTGACCGTTTCCACCATCTCACACAATTCTTCTGATGTACCTTTCCAAATTAAGAAGATATCATCCATAAAATGTAGATATTTAAGGATCTTGTTCTAGAATATATGTTTTTGTCTGAACCAAACACTGCTCAGTGCTAAATACATTTTTTAAAAAGAGGTTGTTTTTTACATTTTAAAGTTGATTCTCTATCATCTTTGCTGAAAAGATATATTTTTTTGCATCCAATAGACACACATAGAAGTGTGTGTAACTGAGGACACAATGTTACTGAGAATGTATTGTGAGGTCAGCACATGATGTTACTGATAATTTATCCATAATGCCGGATGAGGCTAGTGTTAGAGGGAAAGCTGCAAGGCCCTGCATGGTTTTTATATAGAGAGAGTTTATATGGTACTAGATCTGAAAGACATTCTTGTCAGTTTTCACTAAGCTTTATGTCAGGGGCTGGGTAAGCTGGCAAATGATTTGGAGGAATGAGCAGATTAATGTTATTGGTGTTAATGAGGGCATTATTGTCTAATGGGGTGTTAGGAAATATGAGAATGGAGTGTTAATAAGGCTGGAGAGAATGTGGTTAGTATGTGTGGATGTAGGTGGCTATTTATGTGTTTGTGTGTGGCTGGGTGTGTATGTTTGGCTATTCATGTATGCGTGTCTCTGTGTATTAGGCCATCCTTGTATGTGTGTGTGACTATTCATGCATGTGTGTCACTGTGTATTTAGCTGTTTGTGTTTGGCTGTTTGTGTGTGTTTGGGAAATTGTGTGTTTGGATACTTATGTATTTGTGTCTCTGTTGTTGCCACTTTTCTGTGTGTGCACATGTTTGTCTGTTTGTGGAGTTGTGTACTTGGCCCCTAATGAAATATTATGCTACTTAGAATAAAACTATTTTTCCTTCCTACTCCAAAGGGTGAATAGCCATTGTGCCCTGGTAGTATTGTATCCTATTTTTCTCAGTTAGGCCACTTGGTTTTATTTGCCCTAGGCCAAAATGTGCTTGTCTCTGCTTTATTATATGCTTTCAGATCACACATCTTTTTTTTTTTTACTAAACCCTATTGTGCCACTATATGTATCTTGAAGGCTCCTGTAACTATACCTCTATGAATTGGAGCACTTAATTCCAGACAGTCAGTCCACAATTATCCTTACAAAACTGTATGACCCCAAGTGTATATGTCCTTTCTTCCCAAGGCTTGCAATGCCTCAAGGTTAAATGAAGAGAGCTGTCAGTTCTGAAGTTCATATTGTCAGGCTCTGAAAAGCACCAGTGCCCCGATACTGAGTTCACAAGAATATATCATCACAACAACTTAATGTTTCTTAATGTGGTGTCTGGTTTTGAGTAAGGTAGAACCACAGTAATTATTGCTGAAGAAAATCTAGACCACACACACATTCCTAGAAAATGAGTTCTAGTTTTAACTTTTAGCCACAGTGAATGTTTCTTCTACCCATTAGGCAAATGAAGTCATTTCTCACTGGAAACATGGGTGTATGCATAAAAGACTTTTGTCATATCTGCCAAATGCCCTAAAATGAGCTGCCAGCCTGAACTTAGCAAACTTGTCCTCAAGATTCATTACTCTGTGTAAAACATATTCCCATGGTTACAAATCAGACACAAGAGAATTCAATTAATTTCTCTCTGTCTCCTATCCTAGCACCAGGTCAGAGCAACCCTTTGTTGATATCACATGAGGCATTTGTTTGCATGATTTAAAACATTTTATTGCAAAAGGAGTGTCCCAGGATGCACAGTATTGTTTAAAATTACAAATCTCAGGCATGGTCACCCAGTCCGAGATCCCACGTCCTTGTAATTATGCTTTGCTGTAGTTGTTTGCATTTTGAGAAAAACAAGGAGAGCGAAAATAAATCCGTTATTGGGAAATACTTGCCTGCTGGTATCAGTTTAATTAAAACATAATATTTAATATATTGATTAAAAGTATTACTGTTGGAAATCAACAGAATTTTTTTTTATTGATTTAAGACTATCTACAATATAAACCAAATAATATAAAGAAAAAGAAAAATTTGTTAAAGGAAAAACTTCTTATATATCAAATAATCCCAAAACATATAAGATGAAAAATGCACACATATATAAATATATATATATATGATACAAAAGATCCAGAGCACTCACTCATCAGTAAACAGTAATTTTAAAGCTCACAGATGTTTTTAGATTTTTAAAAACACCTACTCCAGGCAAAAATAATGGGGGTTTAGTTACAGTAAATTATCATACAATGCATAAGCCTGCCACAACGTCTATGTACCCCATCTTTGGCAGGTCCTACTCTAATAGGGCCCTGGACTGAGTCACCTGTGACAGGGACGGGTGCAAAACCAAGGAGTTGGCATAGGAGTATCCCATTTATGCATGTTCTTGTTAGTGCAGCCTACTGGTTTCATATATGTGTGTGTGTGTGTGTTTATCCCAAAGGTGATTTGGGCTACTATCAAAATTTAAAATTAGGATGGAAGCAGGTGTTGCATAATAATGTCATTGCACACGTCTGCTAGCAATGATGTTTAGGTGTCTTAAATGTCCCTTGCCTGTCCTTAAAAAGATATTTTACTCACGTTATTTCCAGTGCTGGCTTGGTCATGGTTGCCTCCGCCCTGCCTCTTTGGCTAAGATTATCAAATCTGGCAATCTCAGCTAATCCAATGCTGACCCTGGAAGCACCTCTAGTTGCCATCTGGATGACTGCCACTAGAGATGTTCCTAGGCTCTAATGTAAAAATTGCCTTTTATCTGAAAAGGCAGTGTTAACATTAAAAAGCCTGCAGGGACAGGTTGTAAGCACCAGAGCTACTTTGAACTGTAGTTGTTCTGGTGTCTATAGTGTCCCTTTAAGCAGTAATGTCTAGTGATTTTCTTTAGGGATAACAATATTGAACGGTTACACATTAATTGTGCAGGTTTTATTTGATTTGGCCCCCAAAATGTTCATCCAATAATATTAAGCCCTCATGTATGAATAGATTGGACAGTACTGCTCTAGTATTCAGCTGTATTTAGTAAGATTGTTCCCATTCATTCCTCAGCACCACTTGACATCCATAGTTTGGAAATGTTAAACTTGAGTCCGTCACAAAACCAGATGTGAGCCCCTGCTTTGTTTTATTAGACAGACAGTGCTCTGGTTCAGCTGCTTCTTGCCAAATATGTTAGTTTTCAGTGTTTTCTTTCATAGCACATGAAATAGACCTGCTTGCAGCAATCACAGCTATATTTTATAGGCAAAGCTTTAAAAAAAATACCCTTTTTATGGTTTCCTCTTTATGCCTGTAGAGAGGCTTTTATTATTACATCTACCGGTGCATCTAACAGGGAAGGCTGAAAGTTAGCAGGTACACTTCCTGTCTGGTACTGCTCGTAAAGAGAGGGAGAAAAATCATTGAGGTGACCTCTTAAGTGTCATAGTTGACAATGTAAAGGTGCCTCACAGCAATACACTACTTTAACATAGCTCAAGAACTTTCACTTGTGAGTGTTAGCAGAACAGACATAATGTATGTGTTCTATTTTGCTGACAGAACGGATTACAACTGAAGTCATTACAAGAGCTGGAAATGGCTTTTGAATAAGTAATCACCTGGAGCAAAGAGCCTTTGTATAGCTTCTGAATATGCTGCAGCTAACAGCCTCTATATATTAATACTGAGAATAAATATAGTAAATAGTTTTTAGATGTATTTATTTTTTTAGTTTAGATTTAGCCAGGAATTTGACTTAAAGAGACACTCCACTCGCCAAATACAATTTCAGTAAAAAAAAACTGTTTAGTAGATATCCCCCATGAAAACATGAATCCATTTAATTGTGCATTTTTTTCATTGGGGTTATATCTGCTGCATTTGCAAACACTCGCCTTTTAACCCCGCCCACACTTTCTGTGGCTCTACAATCATAGACTTCCCAATGCAGCTCAATGAGGAGTCTTTGCAAGTCAGGTGCTCTGAGCAATTGCTGCCTCTTGAGTTTAGCTCCACTGAGCTAACCAAACCAGGAAGTAATAACTTGTCTGCTTGAAAGCCAAGGGAGTGTAACCAGGTTAATTTATAAAAGTGTCAATTTCTATTGAAATCTGCACTTTTTGAAAAATTTAAAAAAAGAGGACACACTCTTCACACATGAAGCTTTTCTGCCCTAGGGGTCTGGAGTGTCCCTTTAATTATATAATCTGAATTATAAAGGACAGTGTGCAGCACTGAAGTTCAGCGTCTCCACGGTTTGCATGGAGACGCTGAATGCAATATCTATGAGGAAATGCTGATTGGTGCAGCGTGACGTCTTGCTGCGCATACACACTTGCCTGCTAGTGCTTTCCTGTGGGAAAGCATTGGATTGGCTGAGATGGTAAAATTTGATGATCTCAGCCAAGGGGGCAGAATGGGCAGAGAAAGGTGAGTAAAACACCACTTTAACAGGAGGGGAGCAAGGGGGGCTGGAAAGCCTAAATGGCAATTTTACTTCCTAATACTGTAGTGTTTCTGCAATGTAAATATTACCATATGATTGTATTTACTGGAAAACTACATAACTTGTCTTAGGGTTCATTCATTGCATTCAACTACAGTCAGACAGTTTTGCATTCCTAAAACTATAGTCTTCCTTTAACATTTTTAAATGTTTTAGTATCTGGCCATTTAGAAAATATACATGTTTTATAGGGTAAGACAGGATGACAAGTATTACATGAATAATGATTCTGACTGTATGCGGAAAATCAATACAAGGCTTTGTACTCTGTGTGTGGTTAATCGATGTTGAATTTATTTTGGAGTATGCATTAGATTGAAATAAAGATGAGAAAAATAGCTATTTCTACTGGATAAACGCGATTAGGCCATATTGAAAATTATGGTGGGAACTATCAGTGAGAACTGGGGGATCATAATAAACAAAGGATTTTTATTTGTTGATAACTAAAGTAATGTAGGAACACAAACAAAATGACTTAAAGGGCATCTGCAGTCCCAAAAATAACAATCATTAAAGGGACACTATAGCACTCAGGCCATTTCTTTACATTGAAGTGGTCTGGGTGCAGTTCTGTTGACTTTAACCCTGCAATGTAAAACATTGCAGTTTCCCCTTCTAACCTGACCCAGACTTTCTGTGGCTGCCCAATCATAGGCTTACCAATGCAGCTCAATAAGAAGTCTTTGCATGGCAGGTGCTCTAGGAAATTACCTTTCTCTTGAGTTTAGCTCCACTGAGCTAACCAAACCAGGAACTAACAGGACCTGTTGTCTGATTGGTTTTCTAATAAAAATTTAAATGAGTGTGTATGTATATATGAGTGTGTCCGCTTGTTTGTGTATGTGTCATGTTTATGATCGCCGATCTCACCTGCAGTCACTTCCGATACAACCCCACCCATGCGTCTTAAGTTACATGCTTCCGTGTTAAAAGGAAGCCGTGGGTAATATGAAATTGCTCAGTCAATTTGTTCCAATTTGTTACCAAGTGCCCTCTGAGCTCCCTGTGTTACCAAGCTGTGTACCAAACCTCCAAAACCGACATTTCTGAACTCTTTACTCCCTGGACACGGAACGGACTTTGACTACTTATCTCTTTACTCCAAACTGATATTGCTGAACTACAGTCTTCTGAAATACAGAAAGGACTCTCTCTGATCACCAGCTTCCACAAGTTCTTCTGTTATACTGGGAATTGCTGAATTGTTCAAGTCATTCAGTTTAATCCTCTCAAAGGGTGAATCCAGTCAATACAAAAGTCAGTTCACTGTGCTTTAATATATTACTGTATTTAAATTGCAACCTAAATATATCCTGCACAACTCCTGCATATATACTTATTGTTTATATGGCTACATATAATTCAATTGGACATTGCTTAAGTACTCAAATAAGGATCTGCATACTAAAGATTGAATTGCTACTGAAAGTTGTTCTGCTATTACCTAAGCAATAATACAATTACTTTAAAGGATCACTATAGTGTCAGGAAAACGAAGCAGTGCCCCCACCCTCAGGGTCCCCCTCCCGTGGCGCTGAAGGGGTAAAAACCCCTTCAGCCACTTACCTTAATCCAGCACTGGGCTCCCTAGGCGCTGGTGACCTCTCCTCCCTGCCTACGCCAGCTCCCCCATCCGACGTCACTGGAGCCGCGCGCACGATCAAAGTGTCCATAGGAAAGCATTTCTCTGTCAGGGAGACAGCCATTAGAGGCTGGATTAACCCCAAATGTAAACATAGCAGTTTCTCTGAAACTGTTATATTTACATGTGAAGGTTTAAAACCTTAGGGATCAAAAATGTGCAACATTCCTCACCTGCTATGTTCATGTTCTCAAATGTATAACAGTTATGGGCTCACACATGCTGTTGTAGCAGTGCAAGGCAATTTATGATTTTTTGCACAGTAAAATAAAGAATTATAAAAAAATAAAAACCTGAGGGATCTGGCACCCAGACCACTTCATTGAGCTGAAGTGGTCTGGGTGACTATAGTGTCCCTTTAAATATTCTTAAAGTGACAGTATAAAATTATTTCAGAATCTGCAATTGAGTTCCAAACAAACTTTTATTCCTAAGTATTACAGTATGTGTGTATCAATACGTGTATGTATATCTGTGTAAGTATGTATGTGGTAGTGTATGTGCATACATTCCAGGAAAGACCAACACAACATGCAAACACAGCCCTGCAATCAAGCACAAACACGACACACAAGTACACCACTGCATTCCAATGGTAACAGTACATACAAATAAACCTCTACATGCACACACATACACTCTATAAAAAAACATGCTTACATTCAAGCACTCACAAATACAATCCTGCAAGGATTGGCAATTTGTAGCTCCCCAGCTGGCATAGTATTATATTAGTTGTAGAACAGATGGGGATCTACCATTTGGCCACCCTTGCGCTAGAGGGGAGCCCCCCAAATAAATGTTGCACCAGTGTCCTCTCTACACGAGTTCCACTACTGGGAACAAACAGGCTTACAATCTAAATAATATAGGTTGGTTTGTTAGCTGATGAAACATTTGCTAGTAGAAAATAACAATCCTTTCCACCTGATACCTTACTTATTTTTACAGGTCAATAACTGAACAAGAGAATATCATCCATCAGTTGCTCATGTGTTTTCTAGTTTCTCAAGGGTACAATAAACATTCAAATTGTAGCAGATTGTTGAGCAAAATTACAATTGATTTAAAATAATTGTTACACATTGAAGCTAAACAAATTTAATATGCAACCAGAAGTGAGCTACATAAGAAAACTGCCGCTGTATGGGCACGCCAATCCATAGCGACTCCACCTTTCCACAGGATTTCATTTTATGGACTGGCCGTTGTGCAAAGCAGCACCTGATGGGCGAGTGGAATTTTACTAAAGTTTCTGGGCAAACGTTTCTGCTTGTGCCATTTCCCCAGCAGGAGGTTCCAAAACCCTGATACATTGATTATGATATAGGATTATGGCACTCAGAATTCAATAGCAGCATATCTAAAATAAAAACAGATAGTTTGGGCCTATTGCACTGTGTGGTCTTACGCTTGTGCTCCAACAGCCCCTCTATTAATCTGTGTTGGCATATACCTTACACACCAAGATAACTAGATCAGCCTTTGTGTGGTCTGTTAATTTGTTTTGTGCTGTAAATCCCGCTTTCACACGTGAACATCTTTTATAACAGCTTGACACTGCAGTATTTGACCACAAACCCCTTTACTTGGTTTGAGGCCTGCTGTCCTCTCTACTCCACTGCTGTTAGCATTCATTTTCTTGTATTGACATGTAAGGAGCTGAAATATTTTAGATGTTGCTGATGTCAAGGTGGATTTAAAAGCTTTGTTTTCTGGGAGGCGTTTATCATAAGCGAATGGTAGGCATATCATTAGAAATCATTAGCTCTCTGTGAATTATCCTTTAAATGTCAGGCTGATTTTTAAATTGTCAATTAGTGCACATCTCAGCACATGCCCCCTTGTAACGGTGTAAAAGGAGGGGGAATTAAATTTAAAACTGGCAGCTCAGATGCAAACTGTCAACCAAAAGAAAAATAATTGCATGGGCATGGTAATAAAACATTTGTTTTTTTATATTATAAAAATGTGATTATAGAGTGGATGAAAATGCTTCCATCCAACCTGACAGGTTTGTGTGCTGTACAATTGTCCCCAGTAGTCAATAGATTTATTCTGAACAAAACAATTTATGCTTTCCTGAGGTAAATTATAACATGTGTTACTACAGCAAACATTAAACATTTGTTTTTATAAATGTATGGTGTATGTTCTATTCAAAAGGGTTTTAGAAAATGTATAGAGTTAAATAATCAACATTTATACAATAATAAATACTGAATCACAGACTGTCATACCTCCCAACAGTCCAGGAATCAGTGTGACAGTCCTGATTTGTGTCTTTATCCTACCAATTAGGTTTATTTTCTAGTGTCCTAATTCTGGGACACGAGAGACAAATATGTTCTGCTCGTGCATGCCATCAGTATACCTCCCAAGTGTCCCTATTTAGGCAGAACAGTCCCTGTTTCATGTCCAAATTCCTCTGTCCTTCTTTTCTATGATAATGTCCCTCTTATCTCGGCGCTCCATATTGTGGATGTGTCTGACTGTATAACAGAGCTGCACAGAAATAATACTCATAGTAATGTATCTTTAAACTACAGTAATATGTGTTTCGAAACCAGCCTGTGTTAATAAGATACGTACATCTTTATGAGTAAATCATGTAAAATTTCAGAACACCCCTGCCATTGGCCAAATCCCAAATCACACCCTTAAAATGAAAGTGTCCCTCCTTGTACATTTGAAATATTGGGATATTGGGTGTATTACTCGTGGCCCATTGTATCACATGCAATGCAACTAATGGTGCATCCCACCTCACAAGATTATGCACTAAATTGTGAATTGTTGTGAGCACACCAGGGAAATGTACTGGAAATATAGGTGATTTGGTGAATTTTCCAGTTTGCTGTTTTGAACTATAATATGCAGTAAACATACAGACTATATATATAATGATAATACAACAATATAAATGTGTGATCTCTAAAATGTTTGATAGGTCGCGCCGTTCTATAGTATTATATGCGCTTTAACACATCTTTTGTTATAATAATTTCAGAATTGCTGAAAGGTTAATGCCACTTTTAATCAAGAAGATAGAATGTCACTTGTAATAAAACTAATGTACTGAGCTGGGACTGTCTGAAGATACTGTGAACAATCAAATAAGTACACTGTGCTCCAGGGAGGCATCCCAGAATGTCTAAGCTATTTAATCTTTCTTTGCTTCTTGTCATTGTATCACTAGTATCCTTTTGTATTTGCCCATCACTAATGATTCATGCTTAATTCTCTCTATGAAATGGTTGTATCTAAATATAGTTGGAGTTGACAAATGCCTGTTAATGCTTTAAAGGGGCACTCTATGCACTAAAACAACTTTAGCTTAAAGTAACACTAAAGCGTAAGGAATAAAAGCCTGTATTCCTGACGGTGTATTCCATCTGTGCTGCCTACGTCTCCTCCTTCCACAACATCATCAGGAGTAGTGGCTACCTCCAACACGGTCCAATCCAGTGCTCCTCATATAGGAACATTGGAGACCTGATGCTCATCCAAGCTTAACCGTAGGAAATTGTTGAATCAATTCCACAGAAACACCTCTAGTGGCTGTCAGGAAAATAAACATTAGAGGTGGTCTTAACTGTGCAATGTAAACTAAATAACTGCAATGATTTATGATGGACAGGCCCACTGAACGTGGGCCACTTCATTGAGATGAAGTGGCCTGGGTGAGTTTAGTGAACCTTTAACAAAGGAATGAATTTAATTTGGTGTATAGATCATGCCTCTACAGTCTCTATATGGAGCACTATATGGTCAGGAGCACAAACATGTATTCCTGACCCTACAGGGTTTAAACCACCATCTAGCCACCCTGATCCCCTCATGCATCCCCAAAAATAGTACAATTTTACTTGTATTCAAGTCTGGAGCTGCAGGCTTTGTCCCTGTTTCCTGTAGACCTTCCCACAGCCTGCTGACATCATCCAATCACAATGATTCCCCGTACGATTACCTGAGACTTAAAAGAGGCAGATCGTGGCAGAGCCAGCACAATTCGAACACAGCCCTGGCCAATCAGCATCTCCTCATAGACATGAATTTAATCAATGAATTTCTATGAGGAAAGTTCAGTGTCTGCATGCAGAGGGAGGAGACACTGAATGTTTGTATGTATTTTAGGCAGCCATGACCCAGGAAGGATCTCTAACAGCCATCTGAGGAATGGCCAGTGAAGTTATCACTAGGCTGTAATGTAAACACTGCATTTTCTATGAAAAGACAGTGTTTACAGCAAAAAGCCTGAAGGTAATGATTCTACTCACCAGAACAAATGCAATAAGCTGTAGTTGTTCTGGTGACTATAGTGTCCTTTTAAAGAATTAATTACATTTTGTTTCTGTTAATGCAACCCTCACAACTCCTCCACGGACTGTGACTCTCAGAGCTGGGGCTCACATATCCTGCATGGTTTTATTTCATATAAGATCTTACAGCACAATGTGTTTACCTTATAAGGTCTTATCTCATGCTTTCTTAAATTTACTTAAATCACATAAGGGAGGCTCCTGCAGGCCTCAGCAAGGTATTCACAGATCAGGAGCAAGCAGGAGAAAATAGATTTGAAATTAAACACACTCTGCAATTAGAGAAGCTAAACAATGTACAGGTGGCCCATAAATCCTTACCCATCCAGCGCTCAGATACACTGGATACATAAGATATATGGATGGGTAGGGACTCATGGGCCACCCTGTAGACTCTTTTTCAGGAAACTATATAGGTAGGCTGTATGAGTCTCAGCTAGGAAAGGTTTCGCTAGGGCTTCATAGACTAAGTGATTAACTCCTAAATGGCAGAGGATTGAGGAGTGATACTGACGGTGTATAATCTATATATCAAAACCACTTTATTCATGCTTTGAATGTCCCTTTAACTATTCTGCAGGCTTTCAGGTGATAGTGAAAGAGTATAAGATATAAAATATGTAATTAGAAATGACAATATGATCTGTAATTAGTATTTTATTAGAGCCCTAACATTTGCTTGCTGTAATACTGGCATAAATGAAAAAAATATGAAAAATATGGGTGTTGGGTGTAACTGCATTGCAAAGAAGACTCTAAAGGAATTAAGGAATTATATGTAATTTGGTCAGATTTTAATTAGTAATCTTTTGGCATTAGTCCTACTTTATTATTTAATACATAAAAAATGTGTAATCTCACTCTTGCGTTACCATAAAAGCCTTGTGTAAATACAAATCTCTCTGTGAGATGTTTTGCTAATCTGTTCATCTTAACGCACATTAGTCCAACGTAAAAAAACAAAAAACACTTAGATCAATGAAAACATTAAGTCACTTGTAGTGCTTGGCTACAAGCTAGACTTCTTGCACTTAGGGTACATAAGAAAAGTATATCTGCTATCTGTTGAATTCATGTTTTAGATTTAAAAAAATAAAATAAATAACTGCCCACATGATATGTGAAAACACAGAAGTTGGATTCTGAACAACTGGTTTATGCTGCATGACACAATTATAATGATGCATGTTATGTGTTTAAAGGACCACTATAGTACCAGGAAAACAAACTTGTTTTCCTGGCACTATAGGGTCTTTAGGTCCCCCCCATCCTCAGGGTCCCACTCCCGCCGGGGTCAAGGGGGCTGAAGGGGTTAAACACTTACCTTTCTCCAGCACCGGGCTCCCTCGGCGCTGGGGAACTCTCCTCCTCCCGACGTCAGCGCTGAATGCGCATGCACGGCAAGAGCCGCGCGCATTCAAATAGTCCATAGGAAAGCATTTCCCAATGCTTTCCTATGGACATCCAGTGACTTCTCACTGTGATTTTCACAGTGGGAAGTGCGGAAGCGCCTCTAGCGGCTGTCAATGAGACAGCCACTAGAGGCTGGATTAACCCTAATGTAAACATAGCAGTTTCTCTGGAACTGCTATGTTTACAGCTGCAGGGTTAACACTAGAGGGACCTGGCACCCAGACCACTTCATTAAGCTGAAGTTGGCTGGGTGCCTATAGTGGTCCTTTAACCTCTTAACAACTTTGCATTTCTTTATCCATGAACTCAGAGCATTACCTTTTTCACAAACATTGCTTTTTTCCTTTAATTTTATATAATCAACAATTTAACTTTTAATAAAATGTCATGGAGGTAAAAGCACGTCGGTGACAAGACTTAAAGGAACATATAGTGCAGGGCTCGGCAAATCCCAGGTCACCATGGCAACTATGAACTTTGTCCTGGCATTTAATAGCCCTTTCCCTCCAAGGCAGTCAGCCAGCTGAGGGAGCCTGTAAACTGGCGGCAAGTGAACTGTAATCTTCAAGTTCTTCTTGCTCTGCTCCCTCAAGTACCCTGCAGTGATGCTGGGAGCCAGAATATAACATCACTCCGGCCCCACCATCATAAAACTGCACGCAAGTAAACAGAACAAAAAGAGCTTGACGATTACAGCAGCCACACTGGATGCTAGGGAAGGGATCCACTCCAGCTTTCCCAAAGATAGGGAGGCTGCATAGACTTAAATTGAATTAAAACAACTAGTTTGTGTGTGAGAGAATTTGTGTCTGTCAATTAGTGTGTGTCTCTGTCTGTCAGTGAGTGTGTGTGTGTGTGTCTGTCAGTGTGTGTGTGTCTGTCATTGTCTGTTTAGGTGACCGTCCTCCCTCCTATTGCACAGGAAAGATGTTTTTACTTACCTTTTTCCCCATGCTGTACCGGTCTTGCTGGCCCCACCTCCATGGCTGAGATACTCAAGTTTGATGATCACACTCAATCCAACGCTGCTCCTATCAGCATCTCCTCGGTGAGATGCATTGAGGTAGAGATGGTGCTTGCAGCAGTATGAACACTGGCTTTTTTCTGAAACGTGTGTGCATGTGGGGTGGGGGAGCAGTAGCTTTTTGCATTTTGGGATGTCTGGTATAGCGTTAGGAATACAAAACATATATTCCTAATGCTGCAGTGCCCCTGTCTCTAGTTTGATTCAGGTCCCCCCAGTGTGCAATAAAATGAGTAAAATAAAATCTTTACTTATTGCTTTCCAGTGCCTAGTCTCCCTTGGTGCTGCTCATCTCTCCACCTCTCAGAACGTCACCAAGGAGGTAAGGCCCTTCAGGTGATGGTCCAATTCCAAATGCACACGAGTGTACCAGATGCACGTGTATATGAAAACTTCCCAATAGGAAAGCATTGCATTCAGTGCTTTCCTACAAGCATCCACGTCATGTGACCGAGTTTTACTCCGTCAGTGCCTCTAGTGGCTGTCAGTACTATAGGTCGATTTAACCATTCGATGTAAACATTGTGGTTTCTAAAATAAAGGAAATGCTTTACATTCCAGGGTTAAAAAGAGAGGGCCACTACACCCAGACCATGTCATTGAGATGACGTATCTGGGTGACTAACAGCAAGGTGTAAACGTTACTTGATTAGTTATGGCTGTGTGATATATCATGATATACATTTTTCAATCTGCCCATGCAGGTATCCAGGTATCAGTTGAATAAGGATAATTATGTGACATTCACTGTAACTACTTGAGTAGAATAAATGTATACAAGCTCCTGCTGTGGGTCATCTTAATGTTAATCCCCAAAACATCTGTTTTGATGGATTACTGCAAATTAGCTAAATTGTGGGTTATAGCAAAATCAACCCATCACTATAAAAGTCCAACTAGATTAGGACCAAAAGCATCACACGTTTTACAGTAAGAAACTTAATTCTTCTCCTTCATTCTGAAAGGAATCTGCCAGCCGAATGGTATATACACTATACTGGTATACTATACTGGTGGCAGAACTAATGTAAAGAGGGCCTTGGGGCAAGACATTTTTTGGCCCCCACTCTAGTGCAAATGTTGCTAAAAGGTAGGTCCTTATCCCCAATATCTACCTTTTCCCCATCCTTGCAGGATTGTATTTGTGAGCAGTGTCTGTGTGTTTGAATGAAGCATGTTTTTGTATGGTGGTGGGATGTAGAGGTGTTTTTGTATGTACTGTTACTATTGGAAAGCAGCGGTGTACTTGAATGTAAAATTTGTGTTGGATTGCAGGAGTGTGTTTGCATGTTGTGTTGGTGTTTGATTGCTAGGATGTATGCACATACACAGCTGCATACATGCATACTTACAGAGATATACATACACAATAGAGGGACACTATAGACAGCCAGACCACTTCATCTCATTGAAGTGGTCTGGGTGCACTGTCCCCTTAACCCTGCAATCTAAAACATTGCTGTTTTAGAGAAAGTCAAATTGTATTCCTAACACTATAGTGTTCCTTTACACACACACACACACACACACAGATATACACAAATAAACACACTGACACATATACACACATTCAGAAACACTCTGACATATACATGCACACATAGATACACAAACTGATACAAATACCCTGACACACACACACACCAACAGATACACACACTGACACATACACATATCATGACTCAATAGGATATGCACGCTGACACACAGATACACACATACATATACCCTGACATAGATATACACACTTTCTGACACACAGATACACACACTGACACATAGATAAACACACAGACACATACACACAATCTGACACATTGATACACACACGGACACATACACAAATCCCAGGGTCCTGCTGCCCCCCTCCTGCCTGTGCCACCACCTCTACCATATCCTCTTGCGCATCACTCTACAAGCTCTCACTTCCTTCAAGCACTGCCTGCCACTATGAGAGGAGCCCAATCTGTGCTGTTAAAGATTTAAAGAGCAAGTCCAGGCTCCTGTTCAGCAATGTGACCACCTGATAGGCCCCTCCAGCCCAGTGCTGCCGCAAATTTTTTTGGTTTGGTGCCCTTCATCAGGCTTGCCCTTCAACAATGATACAAATATGTCAGTGAGTGGATTATCACATCCTCCCGTAATGTCTTATATATGGGGGGAAATTCATGTAGTGAACAAAACAAGCTCACAACACATTTTTGAGACCTAAAGTTTGGTAGATTTTTCGTGCCTCGTGTGCAGTAACTAGTTTGATTAGGGATCCAACAGTCACCCAACTAAGGCATACCTCTTAAGTGTCTCTATATAGGAGGGTCTAATATTGGTCCAAATCCCTCAATCCTTCTATGCTATCATAATGTTCCTCGAGTCTTCTCTATCGAACGTCCCTCTTTTTTAGGAGCTTCATGTTGTTGGTGTGTCCGAGTGTATAACAGAGATCCACCAGAGCTCCACAGCAATAGCACAATAATAGAAACCAGTCCGTTTCAATAAGATACATTGTTTTTGTTCTAAATTATATTTTAGTTCAATAAATTGTTATGAGTCAGTCACCTACAATTTCTCAGAACAGCCCCAACCCTTCCCTACACACTTACTCACGTCCCTCAAATGAAAGTGTCCCTCTTTGTCCATTTGAAATGTTGAAAGGTATGCCTAAGAAATGGAAAACTGTTTAGGATTTAAGACATATTTACATGTGATCAATGATGTGTGATCTATTTGTAAAAATTTCGATGAAGGTCAGTGAATGCTGGGGAAACAACCAGGGGTGTAAAAAAAATCTACAAAATCTATGCAAACAGACAAGGTCACCACAAAACTTAGCAGCAGAGACTGACCCGTCCGACTGGCTGAAAAGTTATGCAGCTTGCATCTTGCATATTACATTGCAAGATTTCAGGAACTTGTTCTCTCTTCTTGTTAAAAGTATGTGGGGTTTTATTCTTCTGGTATTTTTTCTTCTGTATTTTATGGCCTCAGTCTGGAAAACAGTACTGTGATTTACAAAGAGGTTTGATTTTTCTCATAACAACTTAATATTGACCTTGACTAAAAGTACATGCCGCTGTACATATGCCTTTTAGCATCAGGCTAAAAATAACTCTTTAAGTAGATGAGAGTTGGATAGATCTTATTTACCCGTTTTTAAATATCCTTTTATTATTTAAGGAATTTGTGATCAATGCAAAATATATATATACGTTGGAGGCATTATCTTTTTCAGTTATTATACATTGGTTAACTTGTCTAATTCTAGATTTATTTTAACATGTCAAACACACAAAGGGATTTCTTATTTTTAAAATTAAAGGTGAATGACAAATAATACCGGTATGACTTCCTTACCGGTACTTTCTGAATTCCCAAATAACACTGGGCTGAATAATCACGTTTTCTTTTTTCTTAAGAACAATGCAAATACCACTGCATGATACTGAAGAGAACATGGTGACTCTCTTTTTGAATGTGAATCCATTTCAAATCCTCATCTACTGTTAATTATCAGGAAATAGCTAGGACCATTTATCTTCTGATTATTTTATTTTAATCCTCCATCCTATATCCATGGAGAAGTTGCCTGCTATATCTTTGAACCTTGCACCAAAAATTGTGATGTGTAGGAACTGGAGTATATTAAAGGGGCTACAATGGTGATAGTAGCCCAGTAATCCTCATTTTAAGGTTTACTGTAACCAAAAAATTAATTTCTTAAATCCCTGGTTTTGTTTGGAGCAACCCTTTCTGAGGTTGTCAACCCGTTTCCCAAACGGAAAGTAAATCAAGTGTAAAGCATAAACTTACCTTGGTTCCATTCTCCATTTCTCCTCTAAACCCAATCCTTCTTGGCTGATGTCACTCCTCCTCCATAGAACAGGAGCAGCGCAGAGGGGGTGTGTGACATCAGTTTGCGTCCCATTCTGCACAGAATTGACATTAGCCAGCCTGGAGCTTTGTTCCTGGCAGGTTAATGATTCTGCCGGAAGAAGAGTTAGATCTCCAGCAGCAAAGAGGATAAAACACAGTATTTCAAAGCAAAACACTGCACATACAGATTACAGCCACCATGACCAAAGGGGTTGTAGTCCATGGAGTAACTCTTTAAGTATTTATATTAACAGTGAGCAGATATTGTGGATTCCTTCCCCTTTACATGAAAAAACAGGCAAAATAATATCTCTAATAAGTGCTTCCAATTTTGCCAGTTTGGAGGAAATATAGTAAATAATATGCGTTTATTTCTATAGCATTCAGTGCATTTCATTGCTAATTTTTTTTTTTACAGCAGAAACTGATTTGCTCTTAATTGCATAAGCACATTCTGGATAATTCCCTTAAACCACCAAGGAATTTCATTTCGTGTATATCTGAATTCCGCTATAGGGAAAATAAAATGGAGATGTTCACCGAATTCTGCAAATCCAGCGTCTCTTCATATTTTTTGAATAATCCTTTGTGTGAAGAAAATATGTTGAGCCTGAAGCAATTCTAAACATATGAGGAGATGAGAAAATAAAAACATTCCACAAAAATTAATTCTACAGTGAGGGGAAAAAAGTATTTGATCCATGCATTTTTCTGGATTTTTTGTTGTTGTTGTTGTTGTTATTCTGTCTCTCAGTGTTAAAATACATAGGCCATTAAAATTATAGACTGATCATTTCTTTGTCAGTGGGCAAACGTTCAAAATCAGCAGGGGATCAAATACTTTTTTCCCTGTATGTGATTTTATCTCTGAATTTCCTTCTTGCCAATTATATCCGGATATATCCTTTAGTGTTATTTAGGGATTCAAATACATAGGTCTCCCAAACCCGCCAAGCAGGAGAGAGCCTCGTTGGTTGGGTGTGAATACCATGTTAATGCACTAGGATGGAAAGAGTTCACAAAGTTGCATTAGACAGAATGGCAATATCTGAATGAGAGATCTTATTCTTTCCAGATTTTTGGGATTAATTCTCCAAATTGTCTGAAACAATATTTCAAAGGAGAAAATCTATTGTAAATAGCGTATAACATCCTAAAGGTCACTCAAGTTTTAGAGCTCTGTCAAGACCAAAAAATGAAGTAATTAACTCCACCTTCACATGTCACAAAAATAATCATAATTCTAACGTGGGAATGTACTCAAGAAACTGCACATTGTAAAGACTGGACTACATTTTAGGCCAGAATAGTACAGATGAGTCATTTTTCAGTTTGTCAGAATATTGATACATCACCCCCCCCCGACCACCCCTCCCCCCACCCCCCCCATCCATTGTTTCTGTTTGCCCTGGTGATTTGCAAAGTGTGTGTCTTGACAACCCAATTTTTTTCATTGTTTTCCTGTGGAGCATCAGAACAATTTACTGCTTTGTGTCAGAGCACAGTTAATGCGGTTACTTAATAAAATTTTTAGCATTTCTTTACTGTGAGCTTTGTTATAGGATTCAGTAAATCAATGTGACTGTAACAGTATACAGCTATTGATATATAGTTTTGATCAATACTCTCATGTAATGATGGAGTCCAGTTTCCGATTCAGACTATTCATGCAGTGTTTGACATTTGATAACATATAATTGCTTTGTGTGTTGCACAGGCTCAGCCATCCCATAATTCTAAGTAACTTGTCTAAACTCATAACTAATTGAGAACTGATTGAATCGCCAAACTTGAGTGATAAGCACATTTTCCATCATTATATATACACAGGGGTCTGAAAACTTGTCCAGAGCTCTAACCAAGATACAGCTCTCTATAAGATTCTTCCTTATTTCACTGCTCGGTCCTTCAAGAGGAAAGAAGTTCATGCAATAAACATGCATGTTATTAGTTTCAAATAAATCCAATTTAGATCCTCCTTTTCTGGTTAACTATGATTTGTCTGACACAGTCAGTGCTCCCACATTATTACCATTTATTGAAGTGCATCAAATGTTTCTGCTCAAAGACAAGATGATTATAAAGGAAATATCCTAATTAGCATTAAATTCTATTGTGTAGTATTCATATGATGCAAGAACATGGATCCCTAACAGCAGCTGGGTAGAGATAGATTTATTTTTTTTAAACTGCTACGCTGTAAATGTGTATGTGAATATGATGAATATGTTTATAAAAATAGGTTTACAAAAAAAATCATTAATAGATTTCTAATGAAAAAAAGAGAATTTTTATTCAACGAAAATTAACAGTCTCAAATAAGTTATTTATTAATTTTATTGTGATCTTTTAATAGATTACTGCCTAGGGATCGACCGATATTGATTTTCTAGAACTGATACCGATAATCAGTTAACTATCAGGCCAATAGACGATAGCTTACCGATATTCTGTACATTTACCGTTTTGAGAAAAAAAATATTTTTTCAAATCTTTCTTTTATTAAGTGGTAAATGCACAAAATATACATGCAAGTCAGATATTTTTTATGTTTTCAAGAATATTTATATGTGTGTGTGTAGTGAATGCAGTGAGAGTATTTGATTAGTAAATGCAGTGTGTGTGTGTGCATGTTTGTGTAGTGGATGCAATGTGTTTGTTTGTGTAGTGGATGCAGTGTGGGTAGTGGATGCAGTGTGTTTATGTGTAAATATGTGCGGTAGGAACACCCTCCCTCATTCCCCTTAATGTTCCTCTCCCTTATCTTTTAGTGACCCCCCCCCCACCACAGTGTTCCTTTTCCCTTCCCTGTACCTTAGTGCCTTCCCTTAATGTTCCTCTCTTTCCCCCCCTCCCCTGTACCATAGTGTTCTCCCCCTCACCCCCATAGTGTTCTTTACCCCCTAAACTATAGTGTTCTTCCCTGTCCCATAGTGTCCCCCCCCCCATCCCATAGCATTTTGTGCTCCCCCACCCCTTGCTGGTCCCATAGCGTTTTTTTCCTCCCTCCTTCCCCTCTCCCAAAGTGTAACATCCCGCTTTCTTGTCTCCTGCGGTACAGGAGATTGAGTCTCCTGTACCCGGCCGGACTGACACACTACACAGAGTGCCTGGCAGGAGGGAGCGCTGCGCACCCACCTCCTGCCGGTCACTCCAATCTAGCACCCCCCGAGCCGGCGCGCCATGGGCCAAGGCTGGCAGGGGAGACCCTTTCATCTCCCCTGCTGGCCCATGCAGAGCCAGCCTTGCTGTACGACCTCTCAGGCTGGTGAGGAGATCAAAGATCTCCCTCTCTGGCCCGCTGGCACTTAGTTCCCCTCACTCACACACTGCCCCCCTCACAAACGCACTACCCCCTAATACAGGCATTGCCCCCTCACACACGCACTGCTCCCCTCACACACGCACTGCCCCCTTTACACACGCACAGCAACCCTCACACATGCACAGCAACCCTCTCACACACACAGCACCTCTCACACTACACACTGCACCCTTCACACACACTTTGCACCTCTAACCTACATACAGCACCCCTCTCACACACACTGCACCTCTCTCACACACACACACACACACTACACCCTTCACACACAAACACACACAGTACCATTCACACACACACATCATCTCTCAGACACACATAGAAAAAAAGTAGAATAGAAAATAGAAAAAAGGGGGGAAATTTGACAAATTTAAGTACATATTTAAAAAAAAACTCCTTTCTAAAAAAAAATTAATAATAATTGCACTTGCGCTATAAATTAGCTTGTGTAGCACTGGTCGGCGGTAAGGAAATTTTACCATCAACAAAAATACAAAAGTGGGCTATAGGTATTAAAAGGCTATCCAAACAAAGTCCATTCTGGTGATTATATTTGTATTTTCATAAAGTGACACCGAAGTCACTTAATTAAGTCGTCTAAGTGCAGTGGCCCTGTCCTTTTAACCCTTCCCATCCTGACAGCCACTCAAGGTGCTTCCGTTGCACTGACCCAGTAAAACTCGGTTAAGTGATGCAAATTGAATATACTGTTTTTTTTAAATGGGGAAGCTTAGATTTTATGCACCACAAACCCCATAAGAGTAGAATAAAGAAGTTTACCTTACTTTTTACCCCACTCTATGCTGGTCTCGCTGGTCTCACTGGTCTCACCATACTGGGGGCCCCTCACACACGTAGCAATTGCCAATCAGCATCTTCACATAGAGATACATTATACTAATATACTAATGCATCTTATGGGAAGTGTTCAGCCTTTAACTCCTTAAGGACACATGACATGTGTGACATGCCATGATTCCCTTTTATTCCAGAAGTTTGGTCCTTAAGGGGTTAAAGGGACACTATAGTCACCCAGACCACTTCATCTCAATGAAGTGGTCTGGGTGCCAGGTCCCTCAGGTTTTAACCCTTCAGATGCAAACAAAGCAGTTTCAGAGAAACGGCTATGTTTACATTTGGGGTTAATCCAGCCTCTAGTGGCTGTCTTCTGGACAGCCACTAGAGGCACATCTGCGACGCTGGAGGCACATTTCGCCTCCATCACGTAGAGCGTCCATAGGAAAGCATTGAGAAATTCTTTCCTATGGACACTTTGAATGCGCGCGTGGCACTTGCAAGTAAAACAAGGATTAGTTAGATTAAAAACAAAAGAAGGAAGGGATGTAGAAGAGGATAAAGGTCTAGCTGACTGCCTCAATGAATATTTTTGTTCTGTATTTACAGATGAAAATGAAGGAAAGGGACCTCAGTTGAGAAAAAGGATAAATGAGTTATTTATTACACGTGAGTTTACAGAGGAAGAGGTTCTATTTCAACTGTCAAAAGTAAAGACAAATAAGTCAATGGGACCTGATGGAATACACCCAAAGCTATTAAAAGAGCTTAGTGGTGTACTAGCAAAACCATTAACAGATTTATTTAACCAATCATTGTTAACAGGAGTAGTCCCAGAAGATTGGAAGTTAGCGAATGTTGTGCCCATTTACAAGAAAGGTAATAGGGAGGAGTCGGGCAACTATAGGCCAGTAAGCCTTACTTCAGTAGTGGGGAAAGTGATGGAAACCATGTTAAAGGATAGGATTGATGAACATCTAAAAACACATGGATTTCAAGATCAGAGATAACATGGGTTTACTTCAGGGAGATCATGCCAAACTAATCTTATTGATTTTTTTGATTGGGTAAATAAAATTATAGATCAGGGTGGTGCAGTAGACATTGCTTACCTAGATTTCAGTAAGGCTTTTGACACTGTTGCACATAGAAGGCTTATCAATAAACTGCAATCTTTAAGTTTGGATTCAATATTGTTGAATGGGTAAGGCAGTGGCTGAGTGACAGGCAACAGAGGGTTGTAGTTAATGGAATATATTCGAAGCTTGGACTTGTCACCAGTGGGGTACCTCAGGGATCTGTACTTGGACCCATTCTCTTTAATATTTTTATTAATGATATTGCAGAAGGTCTTGATGGTAAGGTATGTCTTTTTGCTGATGATACTAAGATATGTAACAGGGTTGATGTTCCAGGAGGGATAAGCCAAATGGCAAATGATTTAGGTAAACTAGAAAAATGGTCAGAATTGTGGCAACTGACATTTAATGTGGATAAGTGCAAGATAATGCATCTTGGATGTAAAAACCCAAGGGCAGAGTACAGAATATTTGATAGAGTCCTAACCTCAACATATGAGGAAAGGGATTTAGGGGTGATTATTTCTGATGACTTAAAGGTAGGCAGACAATGTAATAGAGCAGCAGGAAATGCTAGCAGAATGCTTGGTTGTATAGGGAGAGGTATTAGCAGTAGAAAGAGGGAAGTGCTCATGCCATTGTACAGAACACTGGTGAGACCTCACTTGGAGTATTGTACACAGTACTGGAGACCGTATCTTCAGAAGGATATTGATACCTTAGAGAGGGTTCAGAGAAGGGCTACTAAACTGGTTCATGGATTGCGGGATAAAACTTACCAGGAAAGGTTAAAGGATCTTAACATGTATAGCTTGGAGGAAAGACGAGACAGGGGGGATATGATAGAAACATTTAAATATATAAAGGGAATCAACACAGTAAAGGAGGAGACTATATTTAAAAGAAGAAAAACTACCACAACAAGAGGACATAGTCTTAAATTAGAAGGACAAAGGTTTAAAAATAATATCAGGAAGTATTACTTTACTGAGAGGGTAGTGGATGCATGGAATAGCCTTCCAGCTGAAGTGGTAGAGGTTAACACAGTAAAGGAGTTTAAGCATGCGTGGGATAGGCATAAGGCTATCCTAACTATAAGACAAGGCTAGGGACTAATGAAAGTATTTAGAAAATTGGGCAGACTAGATGGGCCGAATGGTTCTTATCTGCCGTCACATTGTATGTTTCTATGCGCATTCGGCTCCGCTGACGTCGGACGGGGGAGCTGACGTCGGCGGGGAGGAGAGGTCACCAGCGCCGAGGGAGCCCGGTGCTGGATTAAGGTAAGCTGCTGAAGGAGTTTAACCCCTCCAGCGCTACGGGTGGGGGCACCCTCATGGCACTATAGTGTCAGGAAAACTGCTTTGTTTTCCTGACACTATAGTGATCCTTTAATGCAGAGGGTTATGACCTCAAACTTTAGTTCTACAAATATTGCAGTGACATCATAGAAAGCACTAGTGGCTGTCAAAGTGACAGCTACAAGATGCATTCTTGGGAACAATGATACAAATCACAGATTGCAGAGACAGTCTCCTTCTATCAAAACCACTACATTAAGCTGTATTGGTTCTGCAACAATTTCTGAAAATCATTGTTCGCCATGGCTGTCAGGAAGCCCAAAGCTATTTAATCAAGGTTATGTGTGTCAGTGTTGTCTCTCTTGGGCATACAGTGTGCGCATGTCGAGCACACAATAGGGAAACCTCTATCCCCTCTGGGAAGAGAATAAAGCTACAGACTGTGAATGCACATCCACAGGTTTCCAAATAGGAAAACACAGCCCTGTACACTAAACAGTGCACCCAGCAGTGTACAACCTGCAACTGCAGAATGGCTGTGTCTATGATATTTAGAACTGCTCTTTGTGGATAAACTACTTATCCTGCTGGACAAGGGATTATGGGATAAGATTAGTGCCCAATCCCCACAAACCAATGAGAGGTTCCTGATTGGAGGATCTCATCCTGGTGTAGAACAGTCTAGCAGAAATTGCAGAAAGACCCACTAAGCAGTGCACCCAGGCACACCATAAATGGTAGGTAAAAATTATTATTTTTTATTGAACGTTTGGCAATATTTTTTTAATGCACTGTCATTAAGAAAATATATATGGTAATTATTTTATGCAGAGTGATAATTTAAGGATCAGTGTTTACTGTGCCACTATAACAATCTATTATGTTAGGATCCTATTCCAAAATTAAATAATTCACTCAGTTAAGGACTACAGGGCTCTATAGAGCCACCAACACTAGAGAAACGGGACATGTTACATAGGTATTCCTAAATATGTATTCATGATGGTGAAGTGTATAATATGGTCCTTAAAAGACCACCACAGGCACCCATTCCAGTTCTGATTTTATTCCTTTCAATGATGGAAGGTATTTGAATCATACTGATTCCCTCACACTACAACTGCCACTTCTGAAGTCTGGTCAAGTTGCAGAGCTGTTACTTCCTTGTTGCCAGGCAACTGGTTTTCAGTGTAAACATCACAATGGCATCAGTGAGGTTCCAGGGACAGACTGATAGTCTGCTGTATGCTATCAGACCGCATAAGTCATTAGCACATGAGCATTATCCCGATAGTCTTCATCGATTATTCAGACCTTTGTCATCCTGACTGATCATTAGTGGATGGGATGGCACATCAGCATACTGTGTAATAGTAGATTTTATTAAAAATGTAATTTTATTTTAAATGATGTTGGTAAATGTTACTGATAGGACCCATGACACTTGGCTGTCCATTATTTGATATACAGTTTCTAGTAGCAGTGATTGACTACAACAGGTGTAATGTACTTGCATTTCAGATTTCCCAAGGATCACATAATATAACCATTTGAGTAAACATAAATATGTGACCATTTGCATTCTGACTTGCAAAATTTAGGCTAAAACAACTGAACTGTTTTTTTTTTAATATAGACTTTACTTTGGGGGGTGAGGTGGAGGACTTTTGGGAGTGAGTAGCATTGCATTATAACACGGTCATCCGGTAAAGTCAGTGAATTCAAAATGAATTTTATATTTAAGGCCAAAGTATCTGAACTTGAGCTCACATGACTTGGAGAATTATTGCAGTTCTGCTATTTTTGCCTTGAATCCGAAATTCAGTTTGAATTCTCTTTGAATTCCTGATAATTCTCAGTTTAGTGAATAACCCTGGAAGACTTAAAATTGATGTAAATCCTTGATGTCCTTTGTGGGTTTTTTAGGCAGTAATTCCTATAAAAAATACTATTTGTGTTTCCTCATGGTTGAATGTCTAAACATGGCAGTCCTATGAAACTAGTCACATAGATATGAGAGGAACATTTGGGGACTCTGGGGGCTGATGGAACTGATTTTACATTATGTATTGAGTAGGCTGCTACAAACAAATTTGCTATACTTCATTTAACTCATTATTGTCAGTGGAAGCAAATGACATATCCTTTCAACCAGTAATACAATAAACAGTGTGATGCTTAGACTTTATTAACCCATGAATGTCTAAACTAGTATTACTGACAGGTGAATGTTTGATTTAAAGCATTAATCATCTATGCAGTAAGATTTACCCACCTGTATTGTAAGGACTAGAGCAGTAATTCTCTAACATTTCTTATATTGGGAACTTGTGGATGGGATCTGTCCCCTGTTTATGCTTTAATAACTTGCCTGACAATGTCACTTAGCGCCTCTTTCAGCGTCACCCCCTCGTGTGTATGCTGTGGCATCAGACAATATAGGTGCTATCTAGTGACTCCAAGTTTATCAAGGGAACAATATTTATTGTGTTTGTGTGTTTTTTCGCTAATGGTATATGTAGATTAACAGGTTCAGTAACCTCAGAACTTAACCTAAAACACAAATGGCAAAATGCTGGCATAAATAGCTGGCCTGGAAGAATTGTTACTTGGCTATTTTTGCCATTTGTATTTTAAGGCCCTAACATTTAGTGTACTGAACAAACCCCTTTGGTGTATAGCCGTGTTGTAGTGTACTGTAAAAGTCCACAAATGATTATATATTTTTTTCCATTTAAAGATTTTTATTGGTTTTCATCTTGGCAATGCCATAAACACAAACATGACTTGGGGGAGGGGAGGGGGTACAGAACGAAAGCGGGGGGGGGAAGAGGGGGTCCATACCAAGTTTTTTACATCAATGTTTACATTCACAATTTTTGAGATCTCCGGGTGTGTCGTTTTCCTACATACATTTTCTAAGTTCTAAGTTCGTACGTCTGACCACTTCTACATTTGTCCCTAACATGGGGTATTGTTGCTCGCTTGTCTATCATTATCTGGCGATCGACCCTGGGAGTCGAGTACGTCTAGTAGTTTAGCCGTCGGGTGTGTCTCCTGTTTCCCTCATTTCCCACAGCCTCCATGCTTCAACTGCTGTGTCTGTCAAGGGAAGGACCCCTCGGTAGCAGGTTTCATATAGGTGTTGTGTATCAATGTCCCTGCAGACCTCTGCCACCAGTGGTGGTCGTTGGGATTTCCACAACCTAGCTATTGCCCTCTGAGCTGTCAAGAGGATGTGGAAGGCTAATTTCTGTATCCCTTTAGGTATATTGCTTGGCATGTGTAGTAAGAGACTTGTTATGGGTGTGGAGGGGAGTTTGGTGCCTGTTGCGGCTCGAATCAGGCAGTGTATGTTGCGCCAGAAGCTGGTGACTAGTTCACATTGCCAAATGATTATATTTTGCCTTGTATCTGCAGACAAGTCAGTTTTATTTTCTTGGGCTGTTTTCACCTACCATTGCTAATAAATAAGATTCCTTTTCGGCTGCATAATTTGCTCTGTCCAAGAAAGAGGGACTTTCAACCTCACATGAACTCCTGTGCTGAGCAAATACTCTTCAAAGAAAGGCAGTAAAATGAAAAGGCTTCCCAGCAACAGTGACATTTCCAGATAATCTATTGCGGTTTACGCATTATATTTTGGGGGAAAGTAAAACACAGTGAAACACTTCATTTGTTTTTCTTTTCTTAGTACAGTACAAACTTTCTATTATGTGATCAAGACACCAAACGCCAAACAAAGGTCTTGCCAAACAATGCTAAAAGCCTTTAGCCACTGCGAATATTAACAAGTAATCTGTAAAAAAAATCTCACTTTCCGCTCCTATAAAAATATTGTCTGTTTTTACAGTCACACAGTCTCCCTTGATCATCCACAAAATAAAAGGATTTATTCACTAAACAGTGACTTGTAATGAGCTGAAACCCAAATTGCAAAATGTAGGTGAAACTAGATGATTTACAACACAGCAGTTATGCTGTTTTAGCTTCAATTTCCCAATTTTGCACTTCACTACCTTTTGCAACTGTAGTGGGATAAACCTTTTACTACAATGTGATTCATAATAAACAGGGGCATGGCTTAATGAATAAAGATAAGGTTTGATTAATTGCAAGGATGTGATTTATTGTTATCAGTGTACATTGGAAGCTCACTCAAAAAAACTATAATATGGATAATGTTTATTGCCTATAATCTGATTCACAATGCTGGGAAGATACTTTGACAAAATAAACTCAAAAAGGAACAGCCAGATCAGATTAAAAACACACACAAAAAATCACATAGTATAGAATGTCACTACAACCAAGTTAACATGAAATACTGTAAGCACTCACAAACAGATGTTGCAACGGTGCCTATATCCTATAAAGCTATCACAATCTTCACTCCGTATGTAGGAAGAACAGAAGAAAACAAGTGGTATCTATAAAACAACATACACCCAACTAATTAATAATATCCACACTTACATTCCGTAATTAAATGTACTCACAGGTACATGTAAATAAAGCAGCTTCAAAGTATAGTTAAGCCACCACCTGAAAATTTCCAAAATAGCACTATGTCTCCTTTACATATGGATAGACTGGTTACAATTGTGAAAAAAAGGGATCAATAAAAGCCTAAATAAAACCATTTAACCCTACACATTTCTCCCTTAAACTGAATGTATTTTCTCAGGGGTAAAAACAAAAAATCAAAAAACATCAAACCAGATACCTGCGCTTCCCATTCTTAAATACCCATGTCCACAAACAAGAGCATCTTTGGCATCCTCCTACTGGCATTTCCTTCACTACATGGGATCCAGCCCACTGTTCTGTTTTTCTTAATATGTAACCCGCTATGTGTTCACATTAAACATGACTAACACATCTCTGATAAACATCAGCGTCCTATCAGCATCGATATCGTCTTCATCTTTATTTTCAGAGGGCTGTATTTACTGCGAGGCAAACAAGGCATTTGCCTTGTGAGGCACTTTCCAGAGGTACCAAAAACGCTGCCAGCTAATGCCTTGTTTGCCTTGTTTTATGGGGGCCCAAGAGCTGGCAGGCAGCCAGTTGTTTCCCGGGCGGGCGGCAAAGGAGCACTTTCCCCTGAGCTCTCTTGCTCAGCTCCCTCGCGCGACCTGCAGTGATGCAATATGACGTCAGTCTGGATCCCGGCATCACTCTGCGGCACGCAAGGGAGCTGAGCTGGGAGATCACAGCTCCCTCGTTTACTAAATAAACTGACCGAAATAGTCCCATAGACTGGCTTATTATGGCAGTATTGGTCACTGAACAAACAGAATAAAAAAAAAAAAACACAAAAAAAACATCAACAGTATATTCCACTCTTCCAGAAGGCTCCTATGAAGATATAAAATCATCCACTTGACACAGCCGAAGATAATACCAGGTGTTAAAAACAGCTACTGAACATGTGGATGTAAAATATAAGAACCCCAAATTAAACAACATTGCAATCATAGGTTAAAATGTATTCATAAATGAAAACGTACATTCATAAGAGGCTTATTACGTGTAAAGAGGATTAGAGGAGCCTAAAAGGCATGCAGATGGAATCAGAGAAGTAATTGTTCATTTTCCCTGTGTATTCTCACGTTTATGGTATTTTTTCCTAGCCTTCCATTATTGCATGATGACAGATAAAAGATTTTTCTTGAAATGTACTTTCATTCCATGTGCCCTTGACCACGTGTGACATTAATACACAGCTGTCTTACAGTAGCAATATAGCCTTGGAGAAAACATTAGGAGTGGTACTGTATAACCCTTAAATCCCTGTATACAGGTTATGTACTGTGTTCCCAATTAAAGCAATGGGAAGACCAGGAATGGCTGATAGACTCCTCCATTTCCTTTAAAGAGGACCTCAGCAGAGTAAGAGGCAATTCTAGGGGTTTCTTGCAGATAAGGACATTGTAGATGTATGTGTCTGTTGTGCTTTGGTTAGAGCAGCGGTTCCCAAACTGTGTGCCGTGGCGCCCTGGTGAACCGGGACGTGCACACAGGGGTGCCGCGGAATGTCATAGCAACGGGAAAGCATTATTGCTCAACAGGGGCCCAGTCGGGTGCCACGGTCCTTTAAGACCTCGAACGGGTCCCTGTAATGTCGGCTGGCTGGGAGGAAGTGACAGCCCGTCACTTCCTCCCAGCATCCTGCAGGGAGACAGCGTGGGAGGAGGCAGCTGCAGCATGAGGGGAGAGGAGAAGGAAGAGCTCCCTCACTTCCACCAGCAGCAAGGTTCCAAGCCACCCTCCTGGCACATAAGGTAAGCTAACAGGAGGGTGGCTGGAGATATTTAAAAAAAATCATGTGTGTGTGTGTGTATGTGTGGGTGTGAGTATGAGTGTGAGGGTGAGTGTGGTGGTGTGTGTGTGAGTATGAGGGGTGTGAGTATGGGTGTGTGTGTGTGTGTGTGTCAGGGTGTGCATCTGTGTGTGTATATATCAGTGTGCTTCTGTGTCTGTGTGTGCGCACACATCTGTGTATGTGCATATGTGTGTGTGTGTTTTTATGTCAATGTGTGTATCTGTGTCATGGTGTGGGCATGTATCAATGTTTGTGTGTATCATGGTGCATGAGTGTATATGTCGGTGTGTGTATGTGTTGGTGTGTATCTATATGTGTGTATGTGTCTGTGTCTATATGAATTTGTGTGTATGTGTCGGTGTATTTATTTGCATCTGTGTGTTAATGTGCATGAATATCTGTGTAAGTATGTATGTATGTATGTATGTGCAAACATCCAAGCAGTCAAACACCAGCACAACATACAAGCACATTCCTGCAATCTAACACAAATATTACATACAAACACACACCTGCATTCAAACTCAAAAGAAATATACAAACACACCCCTTCATTCAAACACAAATACTTAACTCAAATGTGCATCCACATTTAAAAATGAACATTACATTCAGACACACCCCTGCAATCAAACGCAAACATTACATACAAACACACCTCTGTATTAAAACACAATCTCTGTATACAAGCACCCGTTCAAACACCAACACTGTACATTACACTATAGCGCCAGTAAATGTTGCAGTGCTGTACAGATATACAACCTAGAAATTTTGACTTGGGGTGCCTTGAAAAAATACTGAAATATTAAGGGCACCTTGAACCTAAAAAGTTTGGGAACCACTGGGCTAGAGGGTTTTTCCAAGCACCATCTCCAATTCAGTATTTTCAGGATGTAGTTCAGCTTTCATTGTATTAGACTCTGTGCGTAGCAGGACCCTGGTAAGAGGCAAACCACTGCAAAACAGTTTGCCTCATTCACAGGGTATGGAACTAGGTTACCCCTAGCATCATAACCACTACAGCGCACTATGTTACAAAGCACATCATGCCAAACTGGTTCCAAGAGGATGGCAAGGAATTTATTGTAATCCTATGGTCTCCACCGTCACCAGATCTCAATCTAATAAAGCAACTTTAGGATGTAGTGTAACAGGCGATTTGCCTCAAGAATGTATAGCAACTGCATGATGTTATAATTTCAAAATGGCCGGGAATCTCTAAGGAATGTTTCTGGCGTCTTTCTGAATTCAAGCCATGTAGTATTTGTGCCATTGAGGGGAAAATGGGGTCCTACCCAGTAATAGCAAAGTGTAGATAATAAAATGGCCAAATAAGCTTGAAGGACCACCTTATCTAAGTATTGTTTTGGAGAGGTGGAGGTTGACTGAGGCTGTGTCTACGTGTTCCTGAGTTGTAATTCTGGCTCAGCTTGTATTTTACCAAATTACTACTGGTATGGCGTTCCTAAAATCTGATCTGTAATGTGGAGTACATTGTAAGACTCCAATGGAATTGGTCTGTTTTGCTCTGTATGTATAAACAAACCCTATCTCAAACCTTCTTCGCACTTAACACTCTTTAAAGAAAATAAAGATCTAGCAGTTAATCATTGGTAGATTTACAGAGAGCGTTACATAATTATACATACTGTTGTATACTATAGTATACTAATTACAAGGTCCAATTCAAGATGGCCTACGAGTTTACAATCTAAAGATCATGGTAATCCCAGCATTTATCTCTGCCTCCATTTGTATAAGTTCATTATTCGTTTTTCTCTCTTGTATGGCATTATTTTAGCACTGGAGCATGTTTTGCTTTGACTTCATCTTACACTTGACATTGGTTTTACAATAACCGTTCCAGGTCAGGAAGCAGAGTGATTATGTTTGATCCTTGTTTATTGATTAATTCTGTAACAAAAGGAGTTTGTAAAATTTTAACTGCCCATGTAGTTGTTGTCTGGCATGTACACAGCAAGTTTGCTTAGGCAATGTGCCAACACTGGCTAAAACACAGGCACCCTGTACATGTATCTGAATACTGTGTGTATAAATTAGATTCTCTGACACTTCATACATCACTTGAAAGAAGCCAAAACATTTAAGTAAAAGTTACATTATTGTATGTAGTTTGTAAAGTGCCAGCTTTAATAATGCAATTAGAAGTAAGATGCAAATGTTTGTAAGTAACCCTCCTTAGCACAGCGTCCCACCTATTGTTTGCCGCTTGAGAATGACATCATTTTGTGTGAAATATCTTATATAATGTCATGTATTATTAAGTTTTAGATCTCAGCCTATTCAGTCATAATAGTGCTAAAATGGTTTTAAAGGCAGCCTGATTCAAATGATTAACATATTAGGGTAAAAGCAGATAACTGGAATATATGCATTGCATATACTGCACTGCCCAAATTCAAATTAAATAAAAATCACTTCTTAGTAGATATACCCCAAATGAGAACTTGCATGCATTTAATTATGCATTTTTTTCATTGGGGTTCTATCTAAAAACAGCTGGTAAAACCTGCAGATTTCTTGTCTGCAACCTTTACAAGCCCTCCTCTACTAATCCCACCCAGACTTTCTGTGGCTGTCCAATCACAGACGGCGTAATGCAGCTCAATGAGAAGTCTTTGCAAGGCAGGTGTTCTGGGCAGTTGCTACCTCCTGAATTTAGCTCCACTGAGCTATATAACTAGGAAGTAATAGAACCAGTTGTCTGATTGACAGGCAGGGGGCATAACCAGGTTAATTTATAAAAGTGTAAATTTCTATTGAAATCTGCACTTTTTTTTAAATGAACAAAGAGGACACTCTCTTCACACATAAAGCTTTTCAGCAAATTAAAGTGCTTTAGAGGTCTGGAGTGTCCCTTTAAATGTCATAAATGTTTAGCATTTTAAATATAAAATTGCACTTATTATAGCCTTTTTGTAATACATAACATAATTAGTAAATACCCTTTTTCTTTGCATTTCATGGCACATGCCTGGTCTAGAGAGGCAGCCATCTTTATACAAATTACCATGAGTTGATGCACATTCACAATTCCTGGTGACATGAACTAGCATAGGGCATCTTAAATCAGGGCTCGACAAATCCCAGGCACCAGGGCAAAATGTATAATTGCTATGGCGACCTGGCGCCTGGGATTTAAAGCCTGTTACCTAAAGGCAGGATGGGGGAACAATGGAGCCAGCCGGTCGCCCTGAGGATCATAGGCGGCTGGCTCAGGGAGCGTGCAGGCAGCCGCCCGTAGGAGCATGGAGGCGGCCACCAGGGGAGCATCGCTGTGGCCGGCTGGGGCAGCATGTGAGGGAGCAGTGATCTTCAAGTGGCTCCCCTCTGCTCCCTCGCGCTGTATGGTGATGCCCGGAGCCAGAATATGACATCATTCCCCAGCATCACTACAGGGAGCAGAGAGGAGCCGCTTGAAGATCACTGCTCCCTCACACGCTGGATGAGCGAGCAGCCTTACTGGACCCCAGAGAAAGTCCACTCAGCTCTCCCAAAGGTAGGGAGGCTGGGTGGATTCAAATTAAAATGGAAAATGTCTGTGTGTGTGTAGGTATGTTTGTGTGTGTGTCTCTCTCTCTGTCAGTATGTGTGTGTCTCTCTGTCAGTGTGTGTGTGTGTGTCTCTCTGTCAGTGTGTGTGTGTGTGTCTCCCTGTCTGTGTGTCCCTGTCAGTGTGTGTGCCTCTCCCTGTCAGTGTGTGTGTGTGTGCCTCTCCCTGTCAGTGTGAGTGTGTGTGCGTCTCTCCCTGTCAGTGTGTGTGCGTGTGTCAGTGTGCATGCGTGTGCATCAGAGAGAGTGTCTTCTTGTGTCTGGTTAGGTACCTGCACCCCTACAATCACTAGAGAGGTGTTTTTACTTACCTTCTTTCCCACGCCATAACAGTTTGCAGCTGCTTGCCCATGGGTGAGATAATCAGTCTTTAAGATCTCTGCTATACCAATGCTTTCCTATAGAAAAACATTGAGAGGATATTTTTTTAAAGGCAGTGATTACATTAAAAAAGCTACAGGGACAGGCTACAGGCACCAGAACAACTACATTAAGCTGTAGTGGTCCTGGTGACTACAGTGTCCCTTTAAGAATGGTATATTTCTCGTAAATTAGACTTCCCTAGTTTAAAAAAAAAAAACTGGCTCCTAACTATTTTTAGCTGGCTCCTAGATTCCAAACAAATGTGTCAAGATCTATCTTAAATTGTACTCTGAGGTGGTTTCAGACATTTAAATTGCACATCATCTTCAGTTAGGTAAGTGTTACTTTCAACTAACATGACTTAAAGGAACATTTCAAGCACCATAATCACTGCTGCCCTGTAGACACATCCTGCATGGCCCTACTTGGCACTGTAGAGCTAACCAGGGCTTTTTAAAACCACTCCTGTGGGCTATAGTGCTTGGAGTGTTCCTTTAAAGATGGACACCCTCACATAGAAAAAATAATCCAGAGAATGCATTGATGAAAGGCAATTATTTATAAATATAGATTACAAAGTAATGCACTATATTATATGTAATCTACTATTTTAATAATGAACATTTTCCTTTAACATGTTGACATGTTTCCAGCTTTAAATCCAAGAATTGTAGACCTGTTACTCGATAAATTGCATAGATCACTATTATTCAGGTGTACCTCTCATGGTATATACACAATTTTATATAAAATTAAAGTTGATTAAATTTGATCTATGTATTGAGTAGAGGAAGATCTCGCAGATCTTGCAACCCTCAGTGTGTGATTGTAGGCATCTCCTTTTCCTATGGAGGATAAGTGAATGTACTGAGATTAGTATGTGTATTAGTACTAATTAAGGAATCGTGATTTAAACAATTCAGGAACAGGGTCTTTACATTCATTGCTTCATGCTATTGATTCCTAAATTATGGTTATTGCTGTGCATTGATATTGTTTACTTTCTCCCTATATATCTTTGAAATTAATTTATGTTAGGCAGCAACGGATAAAACTCAGCTAGTATCCGTCATGATGGACACTATAAATAGCCAGGTGCGCAGGATACAGGTATAGGTACTTGTGCCCACTCAGTGAATTGGCATGGTAGCAAGAATGATAAACTTATTGTTATTTGGTATAGCGATATGAGCTGGTTCTTGCACGACCCTGTCTTTGGGCACAGTATGTCCAGAGTAAAAATGTGTTATGAATACACAGCCCCTTTCTTTAAAACATTTGTCATCCAACAATTAAATCTCTATAATTACTCAAAGAAAAACGTACCATCATATTTAGAATCTAATTAGAGCGGATCAGTCAATTTTTTTTTTTTACATGGGCATGTCTGAAATCCTACCCTACCCCTTAGGTGGCCCATCTTTTTGCTGACCCCTCCTCCCAGCCCACCTGAAATTATGCTTATATTTCAAGTAGTGACTAATTTTCCTAATGCATATCCTTGAGGTTGACTAAGGGTGGAACTTTAGCAAGCTCCATGGCCTTTACAAATGTTATCATTGGCCCTCCTATGCCATACTCACATCCCTCATTGCATTGTGTCCTGTTTGAACTGGGCATGCAAGGGATTTGATGCGTACGCCCATGTATGGGTAAAGGATACTAGTTCCGGGCGCTGCCATCTGAGAACATTGACTTGATGCAGCCTAGAAAAAAAGACCCAGAGGGATAAGTAATCCATCAATAATGGTGAGGAATGCAGTTCACAGTGTCCAAAAAATGTTTGTGGGGCATCAGGTGGTACAGATGCACAGATTTCTTGGAGTGGATCCACATTGTGACAGGTCTGCTTTAAAGGATGAAAGGGAGATATTACAATGCAAAGATCAGGTCCGGTGCTGTAAACTTTATATAGTCATACTAGATGAAACATGCAAAGTTAAATGTAGTCTGGAACTCACGCCATGGTACATCATACATGTCATTATTTTAGCCACGCTCTCCCTATGTTATCCTATCTTTTTGTGGTGGCACAATGTCACTTTTCTACCTGTTTATTTTCAATTGGATTGGATTTAAAATAAAAATATTAAAGGATCACTATGGGATCAGGAACTCAAACATGTATTCCTGACCATATAGTGCTAAACCCACCATTTAGGTGGCTATAAAAGTTTAAAACTCACCTTATTAACAGCGCCGCGTGGGTTTGCCGGCGCTGTCTCTGCCCCCTTTGTGACATCATCAAAATGGCCGATTTTTAGCCAATCCAATGCTTTCCATTAGCTAAAATCAGCACTGGGGTGGGGCCAAATGACATTTTGGCCAATCAGGACCTCCTCATAGAGATGCAATGAATCAATGCATCTCTATGAGGAAAATTCAGCGTCTCCATGCAAAGCGTGGGGACACTGAACGGCAGGGCTGCTTACTGCGCAGCACTGAGCCAGGAAGCCCCTCCAGTGGCAATCTGAAGAGTGGCCACTTGGAGGTATCCCTAGGGGCAATGTAAACACTGCATTGTTTTTGAAACGGCAGTGTTTGCATGAAAATGCCTGAAGGCAATGATTATACTCACCAGAATAACTACATTAAGCTGTAGTTGTTCTGGTGACTATGGTGTCCCATTAATAAGCAGATGTTACTGTCTATCAATTTTTGAGTATTGACTTTATTGTAGAATCCTTGATACAAAGTTCATGTTTCGTGTGTTGTACTTTCAAACTATTTAATAAAATGTTAGTCAAGAAACAAAACAGCACTGTAGCATGAAACACAGAGCGGGACTGTCAGTCACATCTTCATCATAGAAGACTGGACGCTGCTTTCTCTTCCGTAAAATTCCTTAATGGCTTCTTTCTGTTACATGGTTATCCTCGCTCAGGTTAATTCTAAGGCTGCATATGTCACCCCTCCCCCCAATGCCGCATACTCACGTGGTTAACTAGTGTCATAAACTACAGAATTGTACAATTAACATAAGTAATGACTGCATATATTTTGCCTCATGCTGACACCACTGTGTATAATAATTGCAACAATAATTGCCTAGTCATATTGTCAGAGCGTAAGACAGCCTCACATTGTGAGATATCTGTACACTCATGGGCCAGAGCTATTGTATCTTGTTCAGTCATCTGCATGGCATGCTGGTTTTAACGTGGTTATTATTAATTACTGTCAATCAAATTACTGCAACGGACATGTTTATCTAATTTATAAACTATTGCCTTATGAAGATATAGACAGCTATTGATGGAACACGATTAAAGAATAACACGTTATGAAAATGCCGTGGAAACAAAAAGTTGGCATAGTTCTATTGGGGAAGCAATCACAGTGAAATCCGTTGAATCAGAGGAAATTTTGCTTTTGTTTCCATAGTGACTGCTGCTTTTAGAAATGTTCGCTACCTGTTCATTATCAAATCACATAAATCTCTCTTACAGTATCCTTGTAATAAGAGACTCAAACTAAACAGCAGTTACCTGTTGCCTTCCCACCACAAACTAAATCTACACATTTGTCCTGTTGGTTAGCATATCTATCAAGCATAGGTTTTCACGTCATGGTCCTCAAAGAAATGCACATTATTTCAGTGAATTACACTGCAAATATAAAAAAAATTCTTGCCAGTCTTTCCACCTCACATGTTTCTGGGTCCAAAAATAGACATGTGCATAGTGAAAAAATATGGTTCATTACAATCAATTAATCAGAAAAGAACATTTTTTGTTTTGGTCAATTTAATTCAGTTAAATTTTGTCCAGCTGATCTTTTTGGGTAAAAACGCATCAGACAACCAAAATGGCATCAAAATTATCAAATTAATATCCTTTTTTTTTCTGATAGTGAAGGCTTGCATTTATTGATATAGTATTCATATCTTGTATTTACAAAACTTTTTATTTTTGGGGGAAATATACTGACCTTCACATTGCCAAGGTTGGCAAACATTATACCTGTGCAATGCTTGAAATAAACGTGTGAAAACAATTTTAATGTTTAAATTGTCCATTTCACAGTATATTATTTTTTTATTTTGCATTCTTGTTGTGCATAAGGAAAGTACAAACAAGCTTGAGGTACCCCAACGGCATTCCTCAGGCATAGCATCATGTATTACATTTTGGGTAATAGGTAGGACTTGCACATTTTTATCGTATTATAATAAGTAAGACATATACTCAGAAGAGGGACAACAGGAGAAAAACATATGGAGTAGAAGCTGGATCGGCTGGTTATGTGACTATAAGATATATAAAGGAACGGTTATAAAGCTTGTCAGTCAGCTGATATGTGTGCCACTGGGTACTAAGTCGGAGTGGTTGATGCAGACAGGGAATAATGGCTGTGGCTGTGGTGCCAGGCAGCAAGGGTGTCCTTCAGAATCTTTCAACCCACACCACTTGGGGGCTTTGGCGGCTTTGGAAGAAAGTCCTTCCCTGAGGCAAACGGGGTGCCCTGGTCTTCCACCTTGGTACCCGACCAGGAGCGTAGGTATTTCTGACAGTTAGCACGTTGTGGGGGTGGGTGCTGAGTTCATGCAGCTCCCCAAGCTTGAACTGTGATAGGAGCCGCTGTCTTGCGTCCATTGGCTACCCTGCTGCATGCAGTAGGACTAGGGGCTCTCGGGTCCACCGGGGTTCAGAGACGCCCTTGGGTGTATGGGCGGTGGTAGGAAATACCTTTTGGGCTTTCGGCCCAAAGGAACAGTCCGTATTCTCATTGGCAACCTGTGTCCCTGGTTTAGCCTATGTGGGAGCCCTGGTAGGTCGGCTAAGTCTGAGTTGGGTCTTCAGTTTGGTAGGCTTTCTGGTGAGGTTTGCTAGCTCTGTTTCTGTGTGCCCTGTCGCTCATGCGTTACGTGTTGCTGCTTGCTGTGGACAGTTTGCGCCAAAATGCTGCAAATATTGCATCCAGCCTGGTTTCAAGGTTGTCCTGTCTGTCCAGTGGGGTGCGTGGTAGTTTGGGTCTTCACCGTGTCACGGGTGCCGCGGGGCCATCAGTAGTGAAGCGCCCTGCTGCAAGGCTGTCTGCTGAGAGTGGTAGGTTGCTTTCCCTAGTGGGGACCGAGATATCCCCCACCGGTCCATAATGGGGGGAGCTGCGAGGCCTGTTGCACACCGCGACCCGAGGTAGGGGATCGGCCGCCTCCCCCAGGCCACGTGGCGCGCTGGGCCGCATGGTAGGACTGCGGTACTGCATCGGCTAGCGGCAAATTTCGGGTATGCCCGTGTGCTCGTTTGGATCGGAATGTCGCTCTGGTCACTCGGGATCCCTGTTGGGACAGTAGTTAGAGGTGCCAACTCGTTTTTTGTCCCTAAGTGCCGGAGCCATTAGAGAGTATGTCTGCCCATCTTAGCGGTCAAGCCCCCGCCCCCCCAAATTAATAAACTTCTTAATATATACGTAATATAAATATTATGGGCCCTATTTACATTTTGAAGTCAACATCACAGTTTACAGTTTACATCTTGTAGGTATTTCGGTGCTGTGCTTTTTACATAAAATGTTATCAGTTTTTTTTGTTCAGATTTTTAGAGTACATAATAAGCAAAAATTGCATTAGCCGACACTGAATTGTAAGTAATTGTCGAGTAAGCCGACACTGAATTGTATTACTCAATAAATTTGAGAAAAGTTTGAGTAAATCCCCTGCACAATCTCCTACAGATTAAAGCTGTAGTAAAAAGTAAGGCTATATAGCCCCCAAAAAGCAGAAGGGGTAGCCAGGACAAGCGAGGATCAATAACCAGGTAACAAACAGGATATAAAGTGCTCTGGGATAACCAGAAGGAAACCACAACAGGAAAATGAACAAAGTAAAGCTCAAGTATTTATATGCCTGGCGCATTTCCTTGATAAGGGTGGGCAAGGGAGGGATTGCATTCTACAGAGTATACGTTTTGACAAATATGGACGGTCTGGGGTTTTTTTTTTTACTAAAGTGAGATTTAAGTGAATTTTAAATTTAAATGAATTTTAAATTTAAGGTCAAAATAGCTGAAATGAAAAAAAATAAAAATCTAAGCTAGCTATACCTTCAGTTAAGCCACTCTGACCTTAAATTTGAAATTCACTCTGAATTCTCACTTTTTTTTACCCTGTAAGTGAAAGTCCCAGTGGCAGAGATCACACGGTGCAGGAGAAGCCAGTACAAGCAACACCATCCATTGCTTTTAAAAGTACTCTGCTTACATAACATGTCAGAATTCTGTTTTTATTTGCAAGTAAATTAATCTATATGTTGTGTGAGCTGAATGTTAACAAATACTTTACAGCATCTCGTTCCAGCCTGGCCACCGAAACATCCACGTGACACCTGCTGTCTATCTGATCTGTCCCTGCATGCTTTGCTTTAGGGACATATCACGATGCAGGTTGGCTCAGATGGACTCATAAAAGGCCTGCTAGCTTACCAGTAGAGGAACCAGGTGTGAGGTTTTGTATATCTATGACTGAAGCTATTTAATATGTGAGATCATAATTTAAATTGATATCCAGGGCAGACTTTACAGCAGACAAACTCATTTGGCATCTCTCCACGTTATGTACAAACCTCGTGCCAACTCATAGCCTACACAATCACTTCTGGGATGTTTGCTGCTGTGAAATCCATTACACTATCCGGGTCTATTGCTGTGCTCTAAAGTATAATTGAAGGAAAGAAATAGATTTAGAAAGAATTAGTTATACAAGAACCCTTATGATGATTGTAGAATTACATTTAATTAAAACGGCAAGATTCTATTTCCGCGTGTCTTCCATATCTTGCAATAATTATGAATTATTGGTTTCTGTTTAATGCCAATTATTTAGCAATGAGCACACAGCAAGGTGGCACAGTGAGATGTGAGCCACTGTCTCCCCAGTACATTAGTATGATGTCAAGATAAGAACCATTCGAGCAGAACGCAATAGCTTCAACGCTTTACCGTCCAACCTATTCTATTTGCAGACCTGCCCTGAGAATCAGCAGAATAATCTGGGAATTGCTTGCCATTATAGGTGGCACTTCCAAATCTTTAACCTTAATATACTTTATATGTGTGGAGTCATTTTATAGGCAAAAATTATATACCTTGCTTTGTTTAAATTTTGTCATCGAGGGAAGAACAAATTACAGGTGTTATGTTTGAAATAAATAAATGTATAATTTTAGGGTTTCTAGTGCCCAGTTTTACCTCCGTCTACTCAGCATAAATATCTTAATATGAAAATCTTCACTTTCAGCAAATCCCAGCAGTCTCGTAGCTGCCTCAGGATATATATGCGTTATCAAACTGCAGCCTGTAAGAGAACGGATAGACCAAATTCATATTCCATCTAGATTAATATGCTATGTATTCTAATTTTATTATATTTTAAAATTATTCAAGTTGTAACGTTCTCTCTGTGTGAATATATTTATTTATTCTAATTTCTCAAATATTACTCAACGTTAAATACATTTTGTTTGCCACGCATTAACCTATGCTTTCTGATCATTTAATGTGGCTTTTGTGTCAGATGATGAAGGCAGCAAAGAAGCAATAGTTCAAAGTGACGGTATAATCAAAGTAGTAAAAAGAAAAAGGCACTTTAGCATTAAAATGTAAATGACATGTAAATCATGCGATATATCATTAACATAAACTAGCCAGTAAATCCTGCTGGAATGGGTGGTTTCATTATATCCCAGTCAGCAGGGATTTCCTTTGCTGGAATATATTGCTAGTCAGGTATATTCATGTTCTTATATACTGGGATTATAAATTCTCAATGTAGGACAATAATAAAGCAATTAACTATTTCGGTCTGATAGGAAAACTATGACAAAATACCCTACTTTCTATGGTGATGGTGGCTGAAACAATACTGTATATAAAATACATAAAAGCTGCATAGTGAAATGATTTAATTGTAAAAATCCTATATCCATCCAAAATGGTGTCCGTGCAGACTCGGCTATGCCTTAGGAATTCTTGGGCAGAATTGGGTCATACAAAAATACTTTTTGCAAAAGTACAAATGTCAACTCAAAACAATTTTTTTTTTTATTATTATAATAATTTTTTTCAAAATTAAGTTTTGAAATAATTTTTTTTTTAATGAAGTATATGTAAAAAAAAATAAAAAAAAAATAAAAGAGCTCTATGGTCTTTCCTGCTTCAGTCTTTGCACTGAACCAGGGACAACCATAGAGACTGACTTGGTTTTCAAACACTGTCTGACCCAAGGTGTATGTATATGGCTGAAGGATCCTGTCATATACTAAAGGGTTTTTTTTTTTTTTTTAACCCCTTAAGGACCAAACTTCTAGAATAAAAGGAAATCATGACATGCCACACATGTCATGTGCCCTTAAGGGGTTAAACATATTCTTAATTTTAAAAATAATCAATTTCTTTTGAAAACTTGGTGAAAAGTTTGTTAAAAATAGTTTTGAGATATCAGCTGGATAATAAGATGACACTTCACAAACACGCCTCACAAAAAGCATGATCGGGCCAGTTGGAATAGCATTGGGTAATCCCTAAATATTAGACTGCTAGTGGTCATTGAGCACGGGAAGGAGAAGCCCAAAGAACATAATGTCTCCTAGAATAAGTAGATTTATGTTTATTTGTGATATTAGAGGTCCACTCACAGCACCATAACCACTGAAGTGTGCTGTAGAACTTATGGTGCCAGGGGTGACTTGGTAACCCCCCAATATAAGTATTTCAACTGTTCCCTTACATTTTGACTTCTTACCTGAGGTGAGCCAGGTGTCGGTTCCTGCCTCTGCAGGATGCTGTCTGCTTCAGCTAAACCCAGCAGCACAGGACTTAGCTCATTGGCCATGATCAACCATCTGCTATTCTCAATGTCCTGACCTTACACTAGGAGAGCTAGCAGAAGCTTTTAGCAAGAGATTATGGCTCGTCATACAGGAAGAGGAGAAGTAAGGCCAGCTAACAGCACACCTCGGGTAAGAAGTGAAATCATTAACAAACAGGCTTCTAGGCAGTCTTGATAACATAACCACTATGTTGTGGTGTTTTCATTAGCAGATCTTACTACATAGAGTAGAAAGATAGACTAGGAGACTTCTTTTCAAATATATTTTTTATGAAAGGTTTTATTTTTTAACATAAATATATGCAATACTTTTAGAATGAATACATATAAAACAAATTGTATATGGAGATACATACATCAAATATACAAAAAGAGTAAAAACAAAACAAAAAACATGCTTCAATCTCTCTGCATGTTTGTAGTAATTGAAATGGTAGAGCTAGGGACACTATATAGTCACTAGGACCACTACAGCTTAATGCATTGGATCTGGTGCCTATAGCCTATCCCTGCAGTCACTTACATGGCTACTAGATGTTATTCTTAAAGTGCAGCATTGATATTAAACGCTCTGCATGGAGATGCTAAATGCTCCCTATTGTAATGCATTGATTGATTGTTCCTATGGAAAGCATTGTGATTGGCTGAGATCACCAATTCTGATGATGTCAGCGATGCAGGCAGATTGGGGGCATGTCCAGCACCACCCTAGCCAATCAGCATCTCCTCAGAGAGATGCATTAAATCAATGCATTCCTATGGGGAGCATCCAGCTTCTCCATGCAGAGCGTGGAGGCACTGAATGCCAGTGTTAGTTAACACATTTATTATTATTATTATTTTTTACGTCAATCATTGTTTTATTAAGGCAGGTCATGGTTTTACAACAATTGAAAGAATAGTCACAATAGAAGTACAGGTTAGCATGACATTCTCAGGAACAGTGTCAAATACATTTCAGTGGCAGGAAGTGGTTGCACTAAAACTCCTTGCAGGGTCTGATCATTTTATAAATTTATAAAGAAAATAATAAGGGGAACAGGAATAGCATGAACAGACAATCAACACACATGTGCTATGCTTGCATGGCTAACTGTTGATGCAAGTCTTAACTACTATGTGCGTGTCTGTAGCTTGACAATAGAAATATACTTAAGCATAAGGTGCACGTGTAGTGTGACGTCAAACAAATGAAAATATTTATGCCATAATAGTACACAAGCTGGGTCCACCGTGTCTATCCCTACATCCCATCACTCACAACACAAAAGTAACTAGAGGTAAAAAAGTTACTTAAACATAAAAAATCAATTGAATAGGATTAAGCACTTTTGAAGTATGCAGCTGGTCATAGAATGTGAGTTGTGTGCTGCCAATTGAGAGAGCCCGGCTATTAATATGGGTGATAAGGCTGCACTTAATGGTGAGTCCAGGTTCAGCCCATTCCCTCACTTGGGAGATAGGTGATGGTGGCCACTATGTGGCATTGAGGCATGACAACCACGATTCAACAGGCTGGAGGGAAGGCCCGCACCACTGAGCCGCTGACTCGGAGGCTTGAGAATTTCAAGTCCTTTCCCTGCAAGGGAGAGCGGAGGGTTGCCACAGGCTGTTGCTGCTGTTCACGTCGAGATCTCTGCTTATGTGGTCGGTGCACTGGGTAATAATCCCTGGTAGCCTAGGAGTAATGCAGGCTTTACCCATGGGAAGTCCACCTCCATGCCGCTCTCCGATATCACGTTCTTCGGTACGTGAGCTAGGCTGAGATGTTGCTATGTGTGCTTCAAGCGCTACCCAGAAATTGTAAAAGTGGGCCTCCAATTTCTGTAGGCAAGTCTCAACAGCACTGTATTGGTTCTGCTGGGTCGCTGTCTGTGTGTGCCCATGGTGAAGTACCTCCACCATTTTGTGCCTAGAGGTGCAATCCGGGGTGAGACAAGAGAGACTGGAGAAGTTGTAGGTCAGCACGGTGGGGACCGGGATAACCCCCACTGGCCGAAAGGGGGGATGAACAGGTTTCGGACACGGCTCATTCCGTGGGACTCCACTGAGTAGGTTTGGTGTTACTCCCAGCAGGGACCGCACTAGGCCATAGATACTCCAAGGTGTTCTAGTGTATCTTAGGTAAGTTCAGGAATCGCTAGCACCTTGGTATTTGCAGTTTTGTAGAGAATAGGACTGTTGAAGTAAGGTGCCCTCTTCCCAAAGCGATTAATATTTTTATTAGATAGCAATGTATGCACTAAATAACATTAACAGATCAACAGGGAGTATTAGAAAAGAGTTCATTGTAAGCTATTGGAACTGAGTAACAGGTTGTTTTTTTTTTTTTTACATTTGTGATATTAATGCAGCATTATTGCCAGAAAGCATGCATATTATATCCTCCTGGGAACAGAGGGAAAAAATTGTCTTCCAATTTTTTGATGAAAAGGAAGTTCCCGGCCTCCCAGCCTATCACTTGACATATGACTGGAAAGATCAGGATGTCCTCTTTACAATACAGCAGGGATTTATAGAGTAGCTCAAAAGAATAAAAGGAGATGCATGTGAACGTAATGTCCAGTACAGAGGACACAAGTTAATGGGCTGGATCTCAGATGGATATGTAAAGTAAAATCTGCTCATCTTCTACAACCTCTTTAGCCAACACTCTAAGATTCATAGGTTTTAAGGATAGTATAAAGTTTTGTAAATCTTATATCGATGGACTGCTCAGTATATTAGGTTAAACCCATCAAAATATAGTAAACAGAGAGGTACGAAACAGGTGAAAAGCTCCTCTCTCCCAGCCCAAGGTTATCTTGCCTTTAGTGACGGCTCCCACTATTAATGAACTGTACTCGAAAAGCCAAAACAAGCATAGCACTGCTTTATACTGGTCAAGGTCAGTAAATAAAAGTGAAAGGCGTTTGATGTTAAAACTACATTGTCATGAATCTTAAATATGTTCCAGATCATGGAGTACACGTCCAGATGGCAAATATGAATGCTCAGCACCCGGTGTACACAGCTGTATTGTATCTTTTAGCTTTTAGAAATGTCTCAGAGGTCCACTCATGAGGTTTTCATTGAGTCCTCAGTATCTATTAACCACAGTTGGCTGAGGACCTTGGACATGGAAGCTTTCCCTAACCTGTTAATAGATAAATCATTATAATGTTGCACTTTAAACACCACACTTAGCTTTGTATTCCTAACGTTATAGTGTTTCTTTAAGTACAGCAGAATCGGCTATATGTAGGCATGCTAAGCATATTCCTGTTATATATTCAGATAGGCAAGAAGCACAGACTGTATAGCAGGAACAAAGCAATACCTATTCCATCCACACAGTCCGATTCGGGATACCTATTAGTTTAATAAAATCCTGCACACTTTCTTATATATGCACGTGGTCACATAATGTCTGTGATTTGTATATTCGAGATAATGCAACCTTCCAATGATCATTTACAAAACACTGCGCCACCTGCTGGTGTACAGAGGTTAACAATCAATCTACTAAATGTTATATGGTTAGCTTGTAAGTTAGTCTGACAGGGTTATTTACTAAAGTGAGATTTTAACATGATCTAAAATTTAACGTTATGTTTATTTACCCTTATATTTAGCAAATAAGTATTTGCAAAGTGTAAAAAAATATGCAACTATAAGTAGAGTTAGGGATTTTTAACAGACTACAATTGTGTGTTTATAGAATAAACCCCTTTGTATTTACACATGCACAGAGATGGGTATTTCATATACTTTGTGCTGGGTATTTTGCTAGCACCTAAGGGGATATAAATCACATGTCAACACACACTAGCAAATAAATTAAACTGACTGCATTACTAAAGTGTTCACTAATAAAGACTTTCTGTTTTTGCAGGCCTACAAGATGACACCACACACACTCAGGATACAGGACGCCATGTGAATACTTGCAGTGAGTTGTTTAACACATCAATCAGCAGGAGACATGGAGGACTTGTACAAAGACGTTCCAGACCTTCCAATGGATTTGAACAACTCACCCTCTGCCATTCCTAACAACAAGCTTGAAAATGGGGTCACTCAACTTATTACTGCAGAAGCATGGAATATTAATCCCTCAGGGTTGATGAAAAAAGCGCTCTCTCCCCTTGTGACTGTTCCAGCTCCGCCTGTTCTTAGCCCTTCCTCAGACTCACAGAGCGGGGTAGCACTGAAGGTGGCAGCGACAGTGCTCCAACCCATCTGTCTTGGAGAGAGCCCTGTGGTATTACCAATACATTGGCAGGTAGCAGGTGGCACACCACCACAGGTGAGCACAAACAATAGCACTCCGTACGTTATAACTACGCAAGGGCCTGTTCCATTGCCTGTGCTTCTGGAGCAACATGTGTTTCAGCAATTAAATTCTCCAATTGTGTTGCCCCAAGGGGCTCAGTGTCCAGCTTCCGCCATCCAAAATCACCTTTTTTCAGGAACCGCTACTTCAGTTGGTCAGCCTCAAATTCTAGATCAAAAGACATCCAACCCAGCACAAGAACCTGTGTTGCCTACAGTTTTTCAAACCCCAGGTTTTCAAGCAGTTTTGCAGGATCTGTTTCCATCACCAAACAGTTTGAGTGCTCCATCCCCATGTCAGATTCCCCCAGACTACAACTCTAGTAATATTCATTCTCTTCCACCACATGCATTCAGTTCTCCCTTATCACCACTTGTTCCTCCTGCTACTTTGCTGGTTCCATACCCTGTGATTGTCCCATTGCCCGTGCCTGTTCCTATACCAATACCAATTCCAATACCAGTGCCACAGACGGATTCTAAGGAAAATGCAGAACATACAAAATCTTCAGAAGAAATTCCAAAGACGTGCAAAGAAACCCAAACACCTTTGGAGAAAGAAGAAGTCAAACCTTTTGAAATTACAGCAAAATCAGAGTTCTCACAGTTTAACCGTCACTCAGTCATCAAAATGGGCAATGAAAATGAAGCACTGGATCTTTCAATGAAAAACGAACCACTAGTTAAAGACAATGATACAAATAGCCAGGTGATTCAGGAAGATGGTGTTCTAGATCTGTCGGTCCCAGTGCACAAGAGATGTGGCAATCTCAATACACTTGTTAATGTGTCAGTACCATGTGCGTCCATAACGGACCCATTAGGCAATATCCCTAGTAAGAATTGTCCCAAAGCTGCACCTTTTAATTCACCTCTAATCCATCACGAGTTGACACAGAAACAGGACAGTAGAATCATCTGCACTAACAATGCCGAACTACTGCGGCAACAAAAATGGATCGGCGAACAAAGCAGCAGAGCCAGTTATGAACCAAAAGGCGTCAGCAGCAGCAGTAACATTGAACTAGTCAGTAGCTCACAGACAGCAAAAGTCATCGTCTCTGTAAAAGATGCTGTGCCAGCCATATTTTGTGGGAAAATAAAAGGGCTTTCAGGGGTTTCTACCAAAAACTTTTCTATTAAAAGGGACTTGCCGCAAGACTCTGCAGTTCAGTGCTATGATATGAAGAGCCAGGCTGATATCAGGGAAGGGGTTGATGCATTAAGGAAACCAGTTAAAAACCGAAGCGTAAAGTTAAAGAAAGTGAATTCACAGGAGATACACATACTTCCAATCAAAAAGCAAAGATTGGCTGCCTTTTTCCCGAGGAAATAATTTCTACATTCCCAGTCTTCTTTTGGAGTTATGAATTTTACTACAATCGTAGACATTCTCAGCTTAAGAAAATTCAGTTCTAATTATACAGAAAGGGTCCAGTGTTTGAATATACAATTCACACAATATCGCTGTAGCTAGTGTGATATATGTGACCATGTTTTGCAGACATTTTTTAAAGAAAAAAAATAATTGTAGTCACTTACCTGTAAACCAGGACCCAAACGAGGATGATATTATGCCTTTGGATAGGTCTTTGTAACTTATTATATGTGGTGGGGAAGGGATTAGGGAGATTAAAGGTAAATGGAGTACATTTAATACTTCCCCCCCTCCTTATTTTGATTGGCATAAAGTCCATATGAACACCCTATTTTTAAGTGGATTGCACATTTTATGCAGCTTTTATTAGACTAATGGATTGTCCAGAGCTGTTTTTACTGCCAAGAACCGCTTTAATGCTGTATTTAATATAAAATAGTTACGTTGCATATTTAAAATAAATGTTTGTATGTGTTGATCAGCTGTCATATTTCGTACATTTTGCAGTTTTATATCCAAAGTGCATACACCGGAATTGTCAAACATAAAGAAACTGTGTACACCTTGTTAAATTCCTCAGTCTGGTCACCATCCTCTTGAAAATCATCTCCTAACGCTTGTTGGCTATAGGCTTTAATTACATATGCTGGCTGATATGATTAGGATGCTAGGACTAGCTCATTACTTATGTGTCTAGAACAAAAATAACACCAAAGCAATATTATGGATGAGAACGTCTGGGCTTTCTTTTTTTGCATCCTAAAGACTCATCATCAACCATTAGTGTTTTTAGAAACATCACTCACAACTATTGGCAGATCAGTTAAGTGACAAGGCACTCATGATTTGATTTGTATTCTGGATCTGTTTCAAGATATGTGGAGGTTGGCAAGTTAAACCCACAAAATAGACACTGACTGCAGAACATGCACCATTACCACTACACCACTGTGGTTATAATGATGAAAGTGTATGGATGCCATCTCCAAGTTTTCTAACAAGTTTAAAGTCTGACCAATATAAATAAATAAATGTATGTGTGTGTGTGTGTTTGTATATATAAATATATATATACACATATATAAATATACACACACACACACATACACATATCCCCCTCAAACAATAAAAGGATGGTACTTCGCCAACCTCAGAAAAATGGAGGAGGCCACACAAACTTGTGATAATGTAACCACAACACTGAGTTACAGTGGTTATGGTGGTTAGAGTGCTATTTCAAGTAACTTTTAAAACACCTGGTATTTTACAAATGGTATTGGATTGTGCATTAAACTGATGGTTTTCAAGGTAAACCAAAACATATGCTCTTATTTAAAACAAGTAGAAGTTTGTTTCACCCCTATGGTAAAGTTTTAAAGTGGTTCTGTCACCATAATTTGCAAAGACCCCACGATGGTGACTGCTCCACTGAGTGTCTGGTATGTACAGAGGAAGGTGGCTGACACCATGACTTCCTGCGTTTCAGCTGCCAGGAGTACACATCAGTGTTGTACTCTTACGCATGTGCAAGAGTACAACATTAACGGCTATGGAGACAGACCCTCCATAAACAATACTTAGTCCATACTTTCTTATTATATATTTTGTCTGCGTTTTAATTACACCGAAATTCACACACAGTCAATTTCAGTATTGTATCTATAAAACAATTTTGTGTGGATGTAGTGGTGGGTGGGAGGGAGTAATGCTTTAAACAAGTGCACATGAAACGATATGAATCAGAGTATTGCGTATTAAGACATTCCAAGCTGTGTTGCCCCCCACTATCATAGATGTAATGAATTAACTCGAACCATACTTAGGCCTACCGCCATGTAACTAAGGTTCAGAAAGCAGCTTACGACTTAAGCAGGAACAAACCTATACAAATAGTACTTTCACAACAGTTCCAGCATTTTATTACACATGCATGTGTTTGTTGCATGTGTACCCAGCTTAATTTATAGAGGTCTTTACAGCATAAGAAGAAACAAAACATCTTGGAAAAAAAAAAAAAATACAAAAAATATAAAAACCCAAAATAGCATGATTTGGCAGAATATAGCAGCTAAAACCTGAGAAATATTAACTAAAGAATGATCTTCCAACAAATAATATGCATTTCTACTAAACATTTTTTTTCTTGAGGTTTTTTTTCTTCTTAAATTTTATACAAAAGGCAGTAGGAAGTAGAATAAAAACTCTATATACTACATATTCCATTAAAAAAATTGGCCAGTTGCTAGCTGCACTATATAATACATTCAATTTTATACACAAATAAAATGTATTTCTGATCCCTGACAGTAAACTGTGTGACTGGCATGACACCTGTTTTACTCTTCAACCTGTACTACCGTCTAGCACCATTTGCATCATATGAAATTGTCACTGCTCATTAATAAAAACAAAAATGCTTTGTAACACGCATAAAGCAGAAAATGTGGGCACACCACTTGAAATTATGTTTCAGGACTGCTACATATTAGAATATTGACAACAGTTTTTGCTTTACAAGTTTGTGAAGCAAGATTGAGATATTTGCAGTTTATGCACTTTAAGTCCATTCTCTTTTGGAATGTCGAACTATTGCAGATAACAATGGAAGATCTCAGGTCCAGCAAAGAGACTGGATTGCAAGCTTATAACATGACGCTCCTCCAACCATCTCATTCCACACCCAACTTTATGCTTTTTCGTTTGATCCACTTCACATGCTGCTTTGGGATTTAGCATTTTGGTTAGAAAAAAGGAAAGGGAAAAAAAACCAAACAAACCTTACAAACTACAATGAACATCTTTTTAACTTACAATACATACAAAAAAAAGTAAAGGAATTGACTCCTTCCTTTCTCAATGTCAAGCACCAATTTTGCTTTACATAACAAAAGAATACTGTAGTACATGAAAAAAATACGTAGTATCTGAGTTCAAAGATAGAGGAGGTATTTTGTAACAACTGCAAACTGAGGCATAGAAGAGATGATGTCGAGAATAAAACTTCTGGTTCACGTTGATGTAGATGTCAATTCCATGAATGGTATTTATTCCAGACTCCTAATGCTTCCCTTGCTTTAGTCTTTCGATGTGGTAACACAGCTTCAGAGCTGGACCAAGCTTTAGTCCCATGTATTTCATGATCATGTCACTTCTGAGTAATAGAAGAGCTGTGCCATCAATTTCCTGTAGAAAGTAAAGACATGTTCCAAGTAATTAGACCCAGAAAAGGGTAAATTATTAAATCACAAATGGACAATTAAATATTTTTTTGGCTTGTTCAGGCTTAAAAGCTAAACAGCTCAAGCAGGGGCGTAGCTAGAGCATTTGGCACCCAAGGCGGATCCTATATCCTATATGTGAGAGGGAGGGGGGGTGATGTGAGGGCGGTGATGATGAGGAGGGAGAGGGGGTTGATGAGAGAGGAGAGGGTTGATGAGGGGGTTGATGATGAGGAGGGAGAGGGTGATGATGATGATGATGAGAGGGAGAGGGGTTGATGTTGATGATGAGGAGAGAGGGGTTGATTGATGAGAGGGAGAGGGGGTTGATGATTGATGATGAGAGGGAGAGGGTTGATGATGAGAGGGAGAGGGTTGATGATGAGAGAGGGGAGAGGGAGTTGATGATGAAAGGGAGAGGGGTTGATGATGAGAGGAGAGGGGATGAGAGGGAGAGGGGGGTTGATGATGAGAGGGAGAGGGGGGTTGATGATGAGAGGGAGAGGGGGTGATGATAAGAGGGAGGGGTGGTGTGAGGGAGGGGGTGATGGTGTGAAGGAGGGGGGAACAGACTATACCTTAATTCCCTGGTTGTCCGGTGGCCATACTATCCGGTCTGCAGAGCTGCAGACCATGAATCTCGTAATGTTGCCTTGTTATTTCGTGAGACACATGGTCTGCAGCTCTGCACACTGTATAGCTGCAGATCGGTGTCTGCGATGGGCGCAGGAGGGGCATCTTACCTGGCGGCATATCGAGCAAGCTGCCGGGCCCCCTCCTGGTGGCTGGTCAGAGTGAGCGGCACCCGGAGGAGAACCCCCCCCCCCCTTTTTAGTACATTTTAATGCTGGCTCCACATTTGACAAAAGAGAAATTAGTTCACAGAGACATGGGAAGGTTATTTGTAGTGAAAACATTATGAAAAAGGAAGCAAAACGCTCAGCTACGTTTGCATGGCCATTAATGCAGTGCTGCTATGGTGGTAGGTCATGTTAATTTGGCTTATAAAAAAGTAGATCTTATGTTGCTAAAGTTTGTTAATCACTAGCATAAAGAGAGAGTGGCAACAGATTAATTTTAGTGGTGGGAAGGGGACACAGAAAGTGACAGGGATAATCGATAATCAGCAATGTAACAAATAAACTAGGAGGCAGAAAGAGAGAAATAAGATATAAACTTTAAGAGAGACAGAAACAGAAGTTGGTAAATGGCAGCATAAGAAGAGGGAGAGAAAGGATAGATGTGCATGTGAATGCCTATGGTTTTGTAACACGGAGACACATATCTGAACTTGCCGATAAAGATATATGCCTGGATCCAGGGAGAAGCCAGAATGCTCACTAAAAATATTTACACTGATAAAGATAGATGCAGGTCAGCTCGGGATCCTCGTTTAATCTAATCATTTATGGGTTAAATGTTAAAGCTGCACATACATGTCGTCTGAATAGCTCGGCATGAGGAGCCAATGCTTGAGGATCCGATTCCTTTACAAAACGGATGACTTCTTCCACAGACCAGGTAGTGGGATCCTTACTGGGACCTCTTGAGGTTTCTCGGTTTGGGGACAGAAGCTCGGGTCCTGTAGTAGAGCTTGCAGCTATGAATGGAGAATATGATGTTATATTATAATGCAAAAACACATACAAGATCATGTAAGGACTTAACATGTTTTTTACATAAATGCAGTATTACCACATTAAGCAAACTTTTAAAAATAATAATGAAATAAAAAGTTTCCTGATCAACATGCCGAATATCACAGTTTAACTTGGCTATAGCTGGGGAAGTGGTTATAGTGGTTGTCTTCCTGAGCGCCACTAGAAGAGTGTTAATCCTGCAATGAAAACATTGCCTTTCCTGCAAAATTGCAATGGGTCTAGCTGCATGGTTAAAACATTGGAGACACAGAAATCAGACCACTTAATTGAGATGAAGTGGTCTGGGTGCCTTTAACCAAAAACGGCGAATCACATGCCCCTTGATTATTATCTGTAAACTGTGCTTCACATAGGAAAACACAGGAAAATACAATTCCAGTACCTATCAAGTAAATGGTAGTTTAAAGGGACACTCCAGGCACCCAGACCACTTTTGCCCATTGGAGTGGTCTGGGTGCCAACTCCCACTACCCTTAACCCTGCAACTGTAATTATAACAGTTTTCATAAACTGCAATAATTACCTTGCAGGGTTAAGTCCTCCCCTAGTGGCTGTCTACTAGACAGCCACTAGAGGGCACTTCCTGGTCCATAGCACAGGTTTTCTGTGCTATAGCGTCGCTGGACATCCTCACGCTGTGTGAGGACCTTCAGCATCGCTAAAATCCCCATAGGAAAGCATTGAAAAGCATTTTCAATGCTTTCCTATGGAGAGGTCTAATGCGCGCACGCAAAGTCTCCCCCGCCGGCGGGCGTGATCAGTCTCCCCCGCCGGCTGACGTAATGAAGGGGAGGAGTGGCGGAAGAAGCAGCGACGAGGGACATCGTCGCTGCCTTTGGTAAGTGACTGAAGGAGTTTTCACCCCTTCAGCAACTGGGGATGGGAGGGAAAGGGAACCT